TTTTCACGGCTTGCTCGCTTGGCTGCTCTTTCGTGCGTTGCCACTGCCAGGAGTCCCATCCCCGTTCTCCGTATCCCCAATGCAAGCCAACCAAGCCAACCGAACTGTATCCTAGCCCCCAGAAACTCGCAACCTGCCAAACCAAACCAACCGCATCCCCGCCCAGCCCGCAGGTCCTGCTGCTTGTTTTCCTTCTGGGGGTTCGCTCCTCATCCTCTTCATCGTCCTTTTTTGCCTGAAAATCAAAACACACGTCTCGGCGTGCGGCGCACATCTGCATGGAATTTCTAAAGTACGTGCCACGGACGAGCGGACAGAACGGACAGAACGGACAGAACGGACGGAACGGACAGAAGGCAGCCAACGAACGCCATCGTCCTGGCCCGATGCCATCGCAATGCCACAGCCGGCAACTTTGGCGTCCTCCTGCTATATGCTATGTGCTGTGGCACATCCATGGATTACATAGCTATAGCTATAGCCGTGCCAGGAGCAGGAGCAGGAGGAGGAGCAGCCCAGCCATTCCTATTCCGCCGTCGTCGCCTGTCTGTTTGTATGTATTTGGCGGCACGGCGGCGAGAGCGTGAACCGAAACATGCAGAACCTTTAGTGAAAAGATACACTGAGCGAATCGGGGGCAACAAATATTTTACAATGTTTCTAACAGGGTAGAGTAGAAATTTTACTTGTGAAAAATTATTAATTTTAAATTAACACCAATTGTAAGACATTTTTAACAATGCCATTTCTTAAAACAGTTTCACTAATTATTTTTATATTTAATTGTAAAACAAGGAGTTTTTTTAATAAGGACTACAATTCTAGATTTAGGAAAATGTTGTTTCTGAATTATAACTTAGCAAGTTGCATTATCCTTATCCTTAAGTTGTGTTGGGAAGGTACAAAGGTACAGAGGAGTCACGGAAACCGACGACGCTTTGAAAATTGGTTTTTAACTAAAATCAGTGTTTCGTATGAGCTTTGCAGTACATTTGCTTTGACTTATATATTATTAGAATATTTTTATGATACCCTATTTTTTGGTTGATTTTAAAATGTCTACTGGATTTTAGAATGTTTTCTGCAACACCGATATTTGTTTTTAAAGGGAATTTTGCCTGAAACAAAATTCGAGACATCCCTAATACTGTTCTCTAAACTAAGTAAAATTTCGAAATAATTTTTGAGTGTTGATTTGACACTGGCGTTGCGAACCGCGCGTGCGGTGTTCAAGCTTGGCATTATAATTTCTTGCTCGGCACAGTGGCAACCACACGCAGACACACCGAAGGAGTGGCACACAGACAGTCGCAAAAACAGGATAAGGCAGAGAAACGGGCAAACTCACACATACAGGGCGCACATTTTAACACTCTCGACAATAAACAGCATGTCACTTAGCTCAAACTTCAAAAGTGCGCCAGTCTGTGCACAGGACTTGGGCTTTGCCAGGATTCGGCGGTGGTTAGGGGGAGGGATGAAGTGCGGCAGGATGAGGAGAATTACGTGGGGAGGAGGAGTCATCGCCGCAGTCACCGACATCGTTATGCGAATGCCGCCAGCAGGCTTCCGTGCCGTGCCAAAGTTTTTTATTTGTCATCCTCTTTCGGCGACAACGGCGAAACTTCCACCAGAAGAGGCGGTTTGGGCGGTCGCTGATGGGCGATAATAAACAGGCCCAGACCAGACCAGGCCACATCACACCCACTACCACCCACTTACACCCACTGCCACTCACTTGCAGGCGGGCCAAGGCGCAACGGCATGAAAAAGGCGCTGGCTGAAGTGTGTCTCGTGGTCCTCGAGAGCCTCGTCGTCGTCAGGAACAGGCGCTTGTTGATATTGCCTCACAGTGTGGCATTAATTGGGGCTACTCCAGTCGGATAAAGCCATACCTGGAGCCGCCGCCGGGATATGATTATACCCAGGGCAAACAACAAAAAAGTACGACAGAAGATTTTGGATAAAACAAAACCATGCGCATATCTATTTGATCGCGACGATTTTTTTGCGTGTATAATTTTTTGTATATAAGAACCTTAACAAGAAAGGAAGCTACCTTCGGCCAGCCGAAGCTTATATACCCTTGTAGATAAAAGAATACTCACTCGGTGCAGTTCCAGGGATTCCAGATTCAGCGTTTCGATTTATTTCAATTTTGTTTTTAAGTAGTCAAGAATCAAAACGTCTACTTCCTACAAAGTTACAATGAATTTTCTTATATTTGTTTGGGAGCCTTAAGATATAGTGGTCCGATCCGGCTGGCTCCGACATATGTACTACCTGCAATAGAAAGAAGACCTTCGGGAAAGTTTCATCGCGATAGCTTTAAAACTGAGAGACTAGTTCGCATAGAAACGGACAGACGGACAGACGGACATGGCTAGATAGACTCGGCTATTGGTGCTGATCAAGAATATATATACTTTATGTGGTCGGAAACGTCTCCTTCACTGCGTTGCAAACATCTGACTGAAATTATAATACCCTCTACAAGGGTATAAAAAGGATGTTTAAATTATATCGAAAAACAGTGTTCTGGAAACTGAAGTTAATTACTGATTAGATTGTCAGTTATTTAAAAATTAAAAGAATGCGATGCCTAATGAACAATCTCTTAATTATAGGTATCGGCCAATTCTTAATGAATGTTATTTTGAATATGTTTATAAAAGCGGCTTGCAGGTCGAAAAATAATTCAACGTGCCCACTGTACGTGTAAGCGGTTTGATTGTCATGGCAATTCGAAAGCATTTGTCGGTCGCTCGCCCCTCAGCACACACATTTGGGAGGGAGGCAACGACAACTCGACGCAGACACAGGATTCCACATCCCAGCGCAGTCCTCGCCTGGCAAATACCATCCACCATCGTCCCTGCCCCCTCTGCCCTCCACATTCTGTGAGCCAGCACAGCAGCAACATCAGCAACGTTGGAGGGCAACAGCAGCAACAACAGCAACATCGGCACGGCAGCAACATCAGCCACTTGCCACATTTGGCTTTCTGCCAGGACCAGACTCCAGGACTCGTGCGGTGGGCGGTGGACTCGGGGTGGGTGTGGCAACTCGACGGCAACAACAAGGACATTCAACAGCAGCAACGACTGTGGCAGCAGCAACAGCAACTAAAAATGCGACGTGCGAGATTATCGTGTCGCTTGTTGGTCGTCCCCGTCCGAAGTCTGCACTCTGTAGTCCTTACTCCGCAGTCCGTGGTCGGTCGTTTCAATCCCACACAGACACACACACTCTCCCCTGCCACTCCGGCCATCCTGGCACCCTGAATCCTGGCCTTCACCCCCGCCTCCTCGACAGCGACACCATCACCACCAGGCGGCACAACTTACTGGCGCTGACGGAGGCAACTGCTGACTGCTACTTATGGCGCTGATGATGGCACAATGACAACAACAACGATTGCAGTTAAACGAGTGACGACTAAGGGATACCTATAAAAATAAGGATTTCTCTTTTGAAATTCAAAATATGCAAGGCAGTTTGACCTTTTAACTTAATATTTCGCAAAGTAAAAGTATTTAAGCAGAATTATTTTTTAAACAAATTGCATCAGAAATTTGTCTTAAAATATTAGTTATATTATAAGACACCATTCCATAAGAAATACTAAAAAACACAAGTTCCCCAAGAATTTTAAAATGGAAAATTTTGAGTTTGGGTTTGATCACTTAAATGTAGTTTATGCCAGGAATTTTATATAAACAAAATCGTAAAATGACTTGGTTAGTAACACCAAAGAACGGACTTCATTATTCTAATTCTGATTTTAAAATATAATATAGGGGCTTACGCCACACAAAGATTTTATATAAAATGGTTTTTTGTTTATATTTTATAAATTATTATTAGGTCCTTCGTGGTATAGAATAAATTTATATTTTAGCAAAATCTGCTAGGAAACAATTGTTTGTACAGTGGGCTTTTACGGTACGTATGCATATACCCACTGATACCCCTTAATCGGGCTCAGCCAGAAAGTATGCAGCGTGCGCACGCGAGGATAACGACTCGACTCTACTCGACTCGAGGACGATGACGATGGCGAGGACGACAAGCAGCCCGACGGAGTGTGCGTGAGCGGGATAAAAGAGGAGGAGGGTTCGCCATGATGTGGCTGTGGGGTAAGAGTAAGGGTGAGGGTGAGGGTAAGGGTAAGGGATATGCCAGTGTGGATGAGGACGTGGCTGTGAGTGTGGGTGAGCTGTGTGCGACTAATTGGGTGAGAGAATGTGGGTGCTTAAATTGGTTTCGTGCTTTCGTGTGACGCGTGCGGAGGCGTGTAAAGCCTGGCGTGTCGCTGTGTGCGTGCCCATGAGTGTGTGTAAGTGTGCAGGCGACAGGCTGCTCTGCGGGTCCTCCTCCATCTCATCCTCCTCATCCTCCTCATTTTTGTTTTTGTTGTTGCTGTTGGCATGAATGCTTGATGGCGTGACGGCAGCCGGTTGTTGCCAGCAATCGAAACGAACTCAGGAAAAAATGTGGAGAATTACTCTGCAGACCGAGTCCTGGTATACCCTACAAAAAATTTACTAAGTAAAATGATATGGAAGTATAATTTTTTTAGAGCAGACAATCTATTTTCAGTAAACAGCATACACAAACACAAAATACAAAAAAACACGCCGGGATCAAATCGATATGCGCATGGTAAAATAATATTAATGTAAAAGTCGGGATAAAACTATTCCAACTAAAATAACTATTAGTAAATTAGTGAATATGCAAAATCGCATTCATACATTCTAAACACACTAAAGACATTCGTTTTTAAACAAATCTTTAAAATATTAATTTTTCTCATAAATTTATAATTTGATTTTAGTTTAAACTTTAAATTCCGATTTTAAGAATAATGTTAGATAATGTAAAACATTTTCATGTTAATAATAAAATAATTTTATACCTGTACTAAATTCATTTAGAAAGGCTTGCAAACTTCTTTTCCTAACCCAGCGACCCTCAGAAAGGGTACACAAACACAATTTACCCCGCATGGATGTGGATTTTATTTTTGCGTGCTTTTTCCAGCGCAGCAATGCCGACTCACACTTTCAGTTCAGTGCTTGGGATTTGTGAGCTCGTCCGTGCAAGGACTTTTCACCCAGCAAACCCAACCCCCCGCTGGCGCAGCTTGTTTATGTCATTTTGTTTATGCTGCCCGCATGCAGGAATGGCCCAGGTCCAATCCTTTGGCTTCACTTCGACCACCTCCCCGAGGCGGCACTGCTACGCCGCGACTCGTCCAGCGCCCGGTTGTCCTGGATGAGGATGATCGTGTGTTCGTTCTCGGTGGCCACCATAACCTCCTGCCGGCGGGTGCGCAGTCTCACGTAGCTCAACTGGTCGCCAGTCTCCATATCGTTCACCATGGAGCGCGCCAAAGTCACCAGCGGCCTCATCCGGTTGGCGTACATCTGCGCAGCGTTTTCGGGTAAATTTGTGCGGACGGGCACTCCGTCGCCATCGACCAAGACGGCCCCAATCACTCCCGGCAGGAGGAGCAGCCGTTCGAAAGTGGCCTGCACATTGCTCGTCGTCATGGCTTCCAAGGCCCAGGTGAAAGTGGCCCCTTTTTGGGATTTTGGAATGGGGAAGAATTTGGAATTTATTCTAGTGCCGTGAATCTGACATAAAAAACCTGAACAAATCTATGTTTCTCTTCAAAGTTTAAGTTTTTAATTTCACTTCTTTAGTTGGGTAGCTAAAGCTAATATTTTAATAAGAATAAATATAATAATGCATGTTTATAAATGAACTATTTATTTATTGAGTATTTGCCAAAAGATTTTTTGATCTGTTACAAATTAAATATTTGGGTAAGTTGTAGTTGTTACAAATTAATTGTCTTTTTTATTGTTTTTAAGTTATAATAGAAATTTTCTTAACAGTATGTTCCAGCTAGAATAAAAGTCTAAAAAGTGTAAAATGTTGAAAATACGTTTTTGAACATTTTACATCTAGTTTATTAATTATTTTTTGTTACAGCGAATTAGAATTGTTGCCCGTGAATTGTTTGTCATTTCTTAATAAACATATTTGTGGTTCACTATCAAGAAATTTAATTAAAATTCCGACTTGAAGTTTAAATATTGAACTAAGTTTACAACTATAAGTAAACTTAGTTCTATATTTGTATTAGCTATAAAACTTGCGCTTGCTTTAAAAACGAAGTAACACCTTTAACTTCCAGTCAAATCACGTTAGATGCCGCAGGGAAATGATTTGAGTCAATCCTCTAATTGAGTCCTTTATTATGTGTACTTTCAAAGGAAACCAGTGGCCAAGCCAATTCGACGGACTTGCACTTAATTTCGCCGAGGGAGTTCAGATCTGCCCCGTGGCTATTGGCAAGGACAACCAGCCATCCGGCCAGTCAGCCAGTGGAAGAATTTCCGGGCTCCATGTCAAAGGTTGGACCTTATCCGTGTTGCAGCACGCGTCGTCGGGGGAAGGAAGGGGAGGAAGCGGAGGACCAGGCGCCACCACCCACGGTGGTACAGGCGGCAGAGGCAATCATGCCCGGCAGCATGCGGCAACGGAGTGGTGGGGGTCACGTAAATGGCGTTGAATTACAGCCCGACAATCGAAGCGCTGAAGTCTCGAACTGAAAAGTTCACTCCGACCCAGCAGCCTGTGCATCATTTATAAGCCAGGCTAGGCCACAGATTGTCTGGAATCGAGTTGAGTGCGCACGCACGCAACGTAGCCGATGATGATGAGCTCAGGACGACCAAACAGGGAACTTTATGACTGTTGGATTGGTTCGGTTGGGGGTCGGGGGTGTCGTCACGTGCCGGCCTGCGTCTGGCGCCTCCGTCCTCCTCCTTCCGTCACCCAGATCCACGTTGTATAATTCATTTGGCGTTGCAGACCCTTTCGCCGTGCGGAACTATTTATTCAATAATTCGACGTAAAAGCTTGACACGGCAATCCAGGGGTTGTGCAGACAGACATCCGCTGAGTCTTTTGCCAACACACAGCAATTGATACTTTAATGCACACACCAACTGTCAGTACTTAAGGCACAATACATTTTTAAATAATGATAATTATCAGATCAGTTTTGTGTTGAGTTTCTTGTTAATTGTGTTTCAAAGTTAATGTTTTTGCAATCTGAAATTAAGCTAAGAAGCCTAAAGAGTCAAAACTGTGGCCAATTTTCGATTAAATAAAGAAATGGTCGAGACTCGCTGTAAAAAAATAAAGTTTTAGTGTAATTTTAGTAATTGTGAACAACCGTTTTGCCTTGGAGTTAATAATTTAAATTTTCGCGGGTGCCTTACCCTTCGGCAAGTTGGCATCTCCAAAGAATTGAATTAGAAAACAGCGCTGCCAACTCTTTCACATAACAGAGCTACACACCACGGTAGTGTTAACAACGTTTCGCTTAGCGGAGACACTGCCACAGTGTGTATCCGCTATGCCAGGTGGCTGTCTAAACTAAATATCCAATACACCCACCTGACAAATCAGAGTGGCCGTTTACAGACTCTTTTTGGTATTTGATAACCCCACGGTCACACTGGTCGAAACGTGGTGCCCATTTCCTCTTGCTCTTCCTCTTTCTTTTTGCAATTGTCAGCCGACGAAGGTGGGTGTTTTTGCCTGCAGCTCGCTGGAATTAATTAACTAATATACTTGTACCACCCGCAGTGCTCTGTGACTTAAACAATCAACATGGTTGCCGTTAAGAAACAAAAGAAGGCGCTGGAGAGCACCAATGCCCGTCTGGCTCTGGTGATGAAGTCCGGCAAGTACTGCCTGGGCTACAAGCAGACCCTCAAGACTTTGCGCCAGGGAAAGGCCAAACTGGTGCTCATCGCCAGCAACACCCCCGCCCTGAGGTGAGACCTTCATGGAAAACTTTGTGCTACTGAGAAGTAGATTTCCACTGCGCCCAAGTTGCCGTTTTTGATGGAACCATATGGAGTCTGCCTTAAAGCTGACTGAGAAGTATGATTCCGAGCGGAGTAGTTGATGGAAACTATGGAGTAGTACAGTCAATCGTCAATCTCAAGCGCCTCCACATGGTTCCACCACAAACGGATTCCACACGGCTTGGGTAAGAAATCTATAGCATAGCCTTAAATTGCTACCACATTATGATGATCCTACCGATTCCGAATGCCTTGACGAATCCTTTTTATACTAGAGACTCTTACTGACCAGTCAAACCAAGAGGATTTCGTTTTTTCAGTCTAGATCTTTGTTGCTAACGTGTTTTCTTTTTTTCCCCACTTTAGGAAGTCTGAGATCGAGTACTACGCCATGTTGGCCAAGACTGAGGTCCAGCACTACAGCGGCACCAACATTGAGCTGGGAACCGCCTGCGGTAAATACTTCCGCGTGTGCACCCTGTCCATCACCGATCCTGGAGATTCGGACATCATCCGCTCGCTGGAGTCGGCATAAACATATTTTTAATCGAACAAGACGACACAATAAAGTTTTGTATGAGCGGAGATAATGTTAAAAATAAAAGTCACTTATTATTTTGGTAATTTACTGATAACGTTAGTATTGGGAATTCTACTCAACCTTGGTAAAAATAGAAGCAGAGAAACCAGCGAATAATGGATAATATTGTCGCTATACAGCATTTAAATATGTATGCTACTGGCGGATTTATATGGCTATTTTATAATCGGCATAGTTCAATTTTTTATCCAGAACAGATTTCGTATTTTGAGAATGCCGTTTTCCAAATATTCGTCATACAGTTCCATTTTTAGTTGATTTATATATTTATTTTCTAAAAATAGGTACATATTTATTGTCATTTTTCTCAAAAACTTTAAGTACAAACTATTCAGAGAGGACCCTTTGACCTAATAACTATTCCATAGCCATTTACAATTGTGCTCATTAGCTTACAGCTTTATATATGGTTTTCCTTGGCCTGGAAAAAATATATTTAATTAAAATAAATATTCAGAAATGGTAATTAATATTTCAGTACTTACATTTTCGGCAACTTTCAGGAGATGATCGAAACTGGCCTTCCCCGTCTGCATCACCATGCCATGGAAAACTTTGGCTTCTGACTCCGTTAACAGCTCGTAAGGCGAACCAAATTCGACGACCCTACCAGCGTCCAAAACCAGTACCTTGTCCGAGTCCATGATGGTGTTCAAACGATGGGCTATCGTAAGTACCGTGCAGTCTTTGAATTTGTTTCGAATGGTCGTTTGGATTAAGGCGTCCGTCTGGGGATCAACATTTGCCGTAGCCTCGTCCATCACGAGGATTTTATTCTCGCGCAGAATGGCTCTTGCCAAGCATACCAACTGCCGCTGGCCCACGCTGAAATTGGTTCCTCCCTCGGAAATGCTGCTCTGCAGACCCGTGGGCAACTCGGAAATTTCCTCCTTCAGGTGAACATCCTCCAAAGCCTTCCAGAGCTTTTCATCCGGATATTGCTCAAAGGGATCCAAGTTGTAGCGCATTGTGCCAGAGAACAAAACGGGTTCCTGTGGTATAATCGAGATCTTACTGCGTAAATCGTGCAGACCCATATCGTTGGTGTCCCGCTTGTCAATAACTATCGCTCCCTCGTTGTAAGAAAGTCGGAAGAGTGCGTTAATCAGCGAGGATTTGCCCGCACCTGTACGTCCCACAATTCCCACTTTTTCCCTGGGTTTAATCCTGAAGTTCAGGCCCTTAAGCACGCAATCCGCTTTGGGATCAGGCACATATCGCAGGCTCAAATCCTTCGTCACCAGCTCACCCTCTGCAGGCCAACTTTTTGGCGGTTGTTTGTCTGCCGGCGAGGTGAAATCTCCCTCGGACTCCAGGTCCTTGTACTCGAGCACTCGCTCCACCGAGGTCATTGAGTTCTCCAGCTCGGCGGATTGTCGCATGCCCCACTGAACCATCCCGGTCATTCCGAGGGCTTGGGTAATGGCCAGACCTATCTGGCCAGCATTGTGCAGAGGGGGATTGAAGAAGCCGTGCAATATCACCGATATCACATAGGCCACACAGAAGAGATCCAAGTAGTAGCCGAAGGCACGACTGGTGGAGACGAACGTGTAGTAGCCGGAGCTATGCAGATCCTGGTAGTTGTCGTACTGCCCGATAAGAAGGCGTTGGGCGCCCATCGCCCGGATGGTGGGAAGTCCGGTGAGGGTGGAACTAAAGTGCGAGTACATTGGCGACCGAGCCACCGCCTCCATGCGCTTTACATCCCTCGAAGTGCTCAGATAGAAGTCACGCCAGTAGTAAAATGCCAGGACCATGGCCAACGTGTTGATCAGATACCACGGATTGGTCACGCACAGCACGCAGATGATGCCCGTCAGGGTGAGGAAGATCTGTATGCAATCCAACATCACGGCGGGCAACGCCTCATCCACTTGACCCAGGTCATTGGCGAATCGGTTGAGGATCCGGCCGGAGGGATTTGTGTTGAAGAAGTACAGAGCCGTACGGGAGAGGCCGCGAAACATGGAGTTGTGCAGCTCGGTGGAGGAGTGCATGGTTATGTTGAAGAAGAGCAGGGTCCGCAGGAGGGCGCAAATAACCAGGCCCACATTTATGGCAGTGAAATAGTAGATATCTTGTGACGAGGATGTCGCGGTGTTTTTTACCCTTGTAAAAAATACATAGCCGATTAGTAATTAAATAAATATTTAAGGATACATATAGAACTCCAATTTTTTCATGTTTTTCTTGCTATTTTTTATCAATAAGGGATTGAGCTAAGATTTCATGAGTTGGCACGTTGATTACGTTGTTCTTATATAATTTTAATTTAATTTTTTTTGTCAAGAGAGGTTTTTCTTGATAAAAAAAATATTTACACATACAAATTTCAACATAATCTAGGTTCAGACAGTGGGCAATTTCATTACCATTACTTTTTTAGATACACGATCCGCAGCTGGGGAAAACAAGGTTTCGAGAAAAACGCATTTAAAGTAATGAAATATATCTACTGCACAAGGAAGGTGGGTGAAGTAATCCTGGTATAAGTTTCAAAATAGTTAGAATTTCCTATTGAAACTTTCAGGACACATTCTTAAAGAGTTATTCTTCCAATTTATAAAACAAAAAAAAATTGACATTTTTTTTCAATATGTATATTCCCTCTTAAGTATTTTTAGTACTCACCAGTACGAAAGGAAGTAATCCCCGCCAGACGCCAAAAGCTGAGTGCCGGTACACAGGAAGACCAGCAGGGCGAAGACCAGGAGCCCACAGCCGGCGCTAAAGTACTTCTTGTACATGGCCAATCCGATTTGACCGACACTCCGGGATTCCTGCACTGGAGCTGCGCTAGGCTTTGGTTTCTCCTTCTCCGCCATGGATTCCAGGGAAGAGGAGCTTCCCTTAGCACTGCCGTTGCTGAGAGTGCTGCTCTGGCGGGAATAGGCCGGAGACTTTTCATCCCCTTCCTCTCCGCCGCCATTTTGAGTGCTCTCCACCAAAAGCTGGGCAAAGTCCTGGCCGCTCATCAGCATCTCTTCGTAGCTGCCACAGGCCGAGACTTTTCCCTTGTCCATGATCACAATGAGATCGGCGTGCTCGAGAAACTGCAGCTGATGGGTGACTAGTATCACTAGCTTTTTGCCCAGAAAGCCGCGCATGCATTCGTCGAAGAGATGTCTACCCACATGGGTGTCCACTGCGCTGAGGGGATCGTCCAATAGGTAGACATCCGCCTTGCGGTAAACAGCTCTGGCCAAACAGATCCTCGCCCTTTGACCGCCGGACAGCGAAGCTCCGCGCTCACCGACGATGGTTCCATCACCGTGCAGCAACTCCAAGTCGCGCTCCAGGGCGCATCGCTTCAGGACGGTGCGATACCGCTGCTTGTCCATTGGCAAGCCGAAGAGGATGTTGTCGCGCACAGAGGCATTAAAGAGCCATGGCTCCTGAGAGGCGTAGGAGTATCGGCCCGACACTTTAACGTATCCCGACTCGGGCGGCAGTTCTCCTAGGATAGCCTGAACAAGGCTGGATTTTCCCGATCCCACGGGTCCGATCACGGCCACCAGTTGAGCTCCCTGCAGCGACATATTGACGTTGTCCAGCACGGGGTCATGGTGCTCCTGGCTCCAGCGCGCTCTCAAGTCTCTGATGTCCACTAGGACATCGGGTACTTTTCCATTTTCAACGGGATAAGCCTTCTTTTCCACACCTCCCAGCAAACGTTGCTCCTCCTCGGGCTTCTCTTCCCTTTGCTCCGACATATCAACTATATTCGATTCCTCACGCATCATAAATGCTTTGATTCGACGCATAGACACCAATAGTTCCGCAAACTGAGACATGCCGCTCGGAAAGAACTTGCTCACCGTGCGCCGCAGGATGTTGTAGAAAGCGGTGACACAGAAGGCACGTTCCGCCGTCAGCTCACCGCCTCCCAAAACGAAAGCCAGGAGGCTCACAAAGATGGCTATGCGACCAAGGGTGATTTCGAAGGAGAGCAAGACGCCGCGCAACAGGTTCATCTGGCGAATGGAGCTCATTTCGCTGCGCCTTAGCTGCTCGATTAGTTTGCCAAATGGCCGCTCCCAAGTGTACATCTTAATAACTTGAATGCCCGAAATGATCTCGTTCATCATGCGCACCCGCTGGTCCGTTCGCAGGGCGGTCTGCAGGCGCAGCTTGGAGGTGACTCGACTCAGGTAGGTTTGCAGCGGCAGATAGAGTATCAAGATGCTGATCCCGTAAAAGGAGGCCAGTCCGATCTGCTGGTACAGAAAGTAGGCGGCGATCAGCAGCTCCAGAGGTCCCAGCCACAGGAAATGGAAGTGGATGAGGCAACGATCGAAGCGGTTGAGGTCGTTGGAGAGAAGGTTCACCACCTGGCCGGTTGTGGTATCCCCCAGCGAAGTGCGGCTAAGGCGCAGAGCTTTTCTATAGATAGCACTGCTCACTGCTACCCGCATTTTCATGGCCAAGTGCTGGGGGGATTCAAATAGAAGCGATTAGGATTTAAAATTAAATTCTACTAATGATTCTTACCATCATGCCCATCATATAGGGGTGCGTGAGGAGAACGCTGGCCAGGATGCAGGCTATCAGGACTACGGCATAGATCTGGGCGTGGTAGCTACTACCGTTTCCATGCTCACTGAACTCCGATATGAGTCCGGCCAAAAGTAGCGGAACGGTGGCTCTATAATAAAGTAAATTAAATTGTTATAATTAATACTAATAATTAGACATCGGATTTTAGGTGAAATCGTATTTTTTTATATACGATTTAAAGCCACATTTAATTGGTTACAAATTATATTTATTAAGTTATAATTACACAAAGAAAAAACGGAACAATATGTAACTGATATTGTTTCATATCAATTTTGTCATATCAAAATGGTATGTTTTCATATCAATATGGTACAAAATCATATGTTCGGAAATATAATTTTGATATGAAAAAATACCCGATGGATGATTATTTTTGGTCTTTTTTTTTCTCTGTGTAGATCTAGGCAAAACTTAATTGAGGTTTTTGTAAACAAGTTTTAACCAATCAAATGTGGCTTTAAATCATATTAAAGCGTTTTGATTTTACCTAAAATCTACTAATAATATAATTGGTTTATATTGGCTCTCACCTAGTTCCCAGTTCCAAGGCGGCAATCGCTATGCCGGATACGATGAGCTGCCAGCCAAAGACGCGTCCGATGACTCGCAGGACACTGGGTTCCCTGCCGGAGGGACCCTTCTGCCGGCAACGGGCCACCTCGTTCTCCCACTCCCGGAAGAACTCATCGCCCAGGCTCTCAGCTCCGTGCTCATCTAGCGTCTTGTAGAGATCCGTCGGTTGGAGCGTCTGCTTGCGACCCTTGAACAGAATGGGCAGGGCATAGCTGGAATTGGAGAAGAATTATGTAAATCGATTTCGCAACAGCGGGAAATTTGTATAGTTAGGCTACGAACAATATGTGGTATCCGATAACGGTTGTCTTCGGATGTCACTTCTCGGCGTCAGTTGACAGGTGCATTGACACACACACACATATGCACTTAAAGGTACTTGATAACCCTTTCTTAGCGGTAAAATGAAACGATTGCGTACCAGAACATTAGCGAGGATAAAATACCTGCCGACTCGCGCGGATTGGGGGGCAGCTTATTGGCCTGCATGATTATGTATGTAAATTAGCCCGGAATTTCAAAAGCTTTCATAAATAATTAACCCGCGATTTATTTTAGTATTTCATCACAGTATGTTTATCAACATAACGTATGTATGTATTTCAATTGCTCGCGACAGATGCTGCACCAGGATTTTGCCACGTGATAACAACAATTGGGAACGCAAAACTTTCCACTCGGTATCTATATGTAGATACGCAATAAACAAATCACTTGAGCCGCCGTCCACGACGCTCCGCTTTTCCAATCATTCTGTTCAATGGTCGCGAAACAGAACGCTTCGAATGCCAAATCAAACGCCCGTCGAGCCCGGAATCAGCTGTTCGACCGGCTGACGCATGTGGGAGAGCGCCGTTGTTGATACATACATACACATACTTACATGGTCACTTCAGCCTTCAAAACATTAGAGTGGACCCTCAAAGATAAGATAAAGGTATTTCTAATTAGGTTACGTTACATCCCAAAGTTCTATTTTTATAATTCTTACAAATGATAAAATAATTTCCCTGTTATACTTTACCAGCTTTCTGAACATTAGGGTGGAAAACTCTGCGATGAGATATGTACATATGTGCCTTGCAATTTGATTCAATTACTCCACTTGCTTGTTTTGTTTGGATTCGTAGAATGTATCTTCAATAGACGTATCTTCAACTTTTCTGTCTCCATAGACAACATTGCCGTAGTAGGTCCCAGTGGACAACCATACATAGACGTAGTAACATTGTAAGCTCGTAATCGTGTGGATGTACGGCTCCTCAATCTTCAGGTGCAGCTCGGTCGCTCGTGTCAGCTTTCCTCGCATTTCTCCAACTTTGATTTGTCTCCGGATAAACCCTTCTGAATATAGGCGTTTTCCTTCTGACCATAAGTGTTTCATTTCTGAACGGTTTCATAACTTTTCTCATAAGCTTTGTTTGTGTTTGTGTACCCTCATTAGTACCATAACCATTTTCTTCAATTTTTGTTTCCCGTCCCAAATTAACAACTTAAGATAACGTATCTAGAAATTTTAAGACACAATAGTATAATAATATTTATAGATATATATGTATTTACATTTGCTGCACCCTTTACCGATAAGATAACAGGTGTTGTAACTAGTTTCCATATATTTATTGTCATTAGTTAACTAACCATAGGTTAAATTGTTAATAACCTTTTCGTAATATCTTCACCCTTCAAAATACAAATATTTATCTACGTTTTATGGTTATTTTAATACCCTTTTAAGTTTTCAAGTATAACAGTTCCGTGAAAGAATCTGTATTGATAGTTCATTATTACGGGTATAATTGAAATTCCATAAAAAAAAATTCCATACATCAATTTCATCATTTCATTTCCTATTTCCTAATCAAGTCCACAAGTATAGCATTTATATTTATCGCTCTTGTCAAGTGTTATACATATATTATCAAAAAATGTAAATTAATAAATTCCGATAATTTAGCTTAGGACCATCATGACATTTTTATTTTACTTCAAAAATTGTAGTAGGGGAGAGTGGGGGAATTTCGTCACAGGGGCAATTTCGTCCCCTGCAATATCTCGGAATCCATAAGTCGTAAAAATATATCATTTTTTTGTTTTAGTCCTTCAAGACGGCCAGACTCAACCAATGCATTTGTTTTGCACAGAAGGCCAAGATAATTAAGCTATAATATTAAATGTGTTTTAACAGTTCAAAAGCTACATTTAGTTCTCGACGAAATTTTTTCTGTATGCCACAATTCAAAAGGAATAAGATACACGATTTTTTATATAATACACAGTGCTATAATGTGCATTTCTGCGTCAGTGATTTTTAACTTCGCGCCTAATTTCGCAAGAAAAATAATTATTTCTAAAAAAGTACGGTCTGGGGAAATTTCGCCACCCTACGCTAAGGGTAAATTCGCACCTATTTTAAATACATATTTTTATATTTGACGAGCTGGCTAACGAACAGACAACCAGCAGCAGCAACAAATATAGGACGTCAACAAAAATGGTACGCTTGATCAGTGTAGCATATTTTCAGGCGTTAAACTCCCTACATTTTTCAGGTGACGAAATTTCCCCAGTTGTGTGGTGATTTTACCCCCTGTGTGGTGAGATTGCCCCAGTATATTGGTTTTACATTTTATTTTTTTATAAATCACCAAGCTAATTAAAAAAATAGGGGAATGTCACATTTTAAAGCTTGGTGCTAACCGCATTCAACAATAAAAATAGAAATATGATAACGTGTCTCAAGATGGACAAAAAATAGCTTTGAAAAAATGCTGACGAAATTCCCCCACTCTCCCCTACCTAATATATGAATGATTTAAATTTTGCCAGAATATATAAAAGGTTGTATTTATAGTAGTGGGCTTCCGCACACTCTCTGAGCGATTGTTATCTACGTAAACAAACGTCATAATAATACTAGACATTCAATAAATAAAGCAATTAATCATAAATGTATTCTTCTTTTCTTTTAGTTTGATAAGAAAGTAAACCGTTTCTCTGAATGAATGTTAAGTCCATCAAATATTTGCATTTTGCTTTGGCATGACATGTTTTTCTAGCTCTTAATCGTAGAGTAAAGGGGTGTATTTCATGAATGAATTGGAAAGTATGTAACAGGAAGAATATAGAATCTCCATCTGTCCGTCCAATTGATCGCTAAGATCTCCCAAATTATTAAACCTGCAAAGGTGGGATTTATCTTGGGATACTCCACAAGGCGCTCGAGAGTAAGCTTTCTTTATTTTTGTTTTCTAATCCTTTTGGCACCAAATCTAAAATGTAATTTAGATTAATTTGATTTATTTTATGATTTTCTTTTTAAAATTGAACGGACTTAAAAAAAAATTTTTTGAGGTAGGTCAAGAACATTACAGTCAAGTGGGAAATCCTAAACATAAATACCAAGTACCTAAGAGGAAAGGCTTCTACACGGACGCTTCTTCAAAAGCCTGAAAAAAAATTTCGTTGGTTGAGTAAATCATTTTTTAAATAAAAACCCTTACTCTTTGAGCAATCTTCTGAAGGGCGTCGTAGGAGGCCTGTCCCGTCTGCTTGACCATGTCGAGGAACACATTGGAATCTTCCGCTGTCAGAAGTTCATAGGGCGTCCCAAACTCCACAGCTCGTCCAGCATCCATTACCAATACCTTGTCCGAGTCCATGATGGTGTGCAATCGATGAGCGATGGTCAGGACAGTGCAGTCCTTGAACTTGTTTCGAATGGTGGCTTGGATTAGAGCATCTGTCTGGGGATCCACATTGGCCGTAGCCTCGTCCATCACAAGGATTTTGTTTTCCCGCAGAATGGCCCTTGCCAAGCAAACCAACTGGCGCTGACCCACGCTGAAGTTGGATCCTCCCTCGGTGATTTTTGTTTCCAAGCCAGTGGCCATATTGGCCACCACCTCCTTAAGCTGAACTTCCTCCAAGGAGAGCCATAACTTTTCATCACTGTACTCCTCAAAGGGATCCAAGTTGTATCGCATTGTGCCGGAGAACAGAACGGGTTCCTGGGGAATAATCGAGATCTTGCTGCGAAGGTCGTGCAGACCCATCTCATTTGTATCCCGCTTGTCTATGAGGACGGATCCATCATTGTAGGACAGTCGGAAGAGGGCGTTTATCAGCGAGGATTTTCCCGCCCCAGTGCGTCCCACAATACCTATTTTTTCCCTTGGCTTAATGACGAAACTTAGTGACTTGAGCACGTTTTCCGCTTTTGGATCCGGGGTGTAGCGCAGGCTCAGCTCATCAAACTCTATTTTCCCTTGCTCCGGCCAGGACTGGGGTGGCTTCTTATCCGCCGGGGCTTCCAATTCTCCCTCTGGCTCAATGTCCTCGTACTCAATCACTCTCTCCACGGAAATCATTGTTGTCTCCAACTCTGCCGATTGGCGGACAGTCCATTGGACTGTTCCCGTCAAGCCAATGGCCTGCAACGATGTATTGACTAAATGTTTATTAATTAAGTGTCCAGGACTTTACCTGTGTTATGGCCAGACCAACTTCAGCACCATTGGCAGGCGGATACATAAAGAATCCGAGTGTGACGATCGCTAGATAGAGCATACAGAATACGTCTATCCAATAGCCGAAAGCTCGTGATGTGCTAATGAACATGTAGGCAGCGGAGCTGTGCATATCTTGATAGCTATCAAACTCCGCCTCTAAAATACTCTCAGCTCCAAAGGCGCGAATGGTGGACAAACCAGTCAGAGAAGCCGCAAAATGCGAGTAAACTGGGGATCGAGCTGTGAAAAGAAGAAACGTTTTAGGAGGTTTTCTCGTGATTTCTGGTTATCCATCATTAACACTTACTACTAGCCTCTAAACGCTTTACATCCCGCGAAGTTTGAAGATAAAAGGTCCGCAGGTGATAGAAGACAACACCAATTACGAGTGCGGGTATGAGATATACAGGATTGACAATGGATATGACCACGATATTGCCGGCAAGCGAGAGGAAGTCCTGAATGACGGTCATCATTATAATGGGCAGCACCTCATCCACTTGACCCATGTCCTTGGAGAAGCGATTTAGTATACCCCCCGAAGGGTTGGTGTTGAAGAAGTACATGGAAGCTCGACTAATGCCACGAAACATGGAGTTGTGCAACCGAATGGAGGCCTTCATTGCCAAGTTGTAGAACAGAAAGGATCGTTTTACGGTCACAACAATGGTTAGCACTGTAATCAGCGTAAAAATGTAGATGTCGTGCATTGCGTCATCCTCAGATTTAGGCTTTATTGTAGGGTCTTCTTGGATACCATTGTCGCGTTTTCCTGACACCCTAAGGACAATCAAATTTAAGTAATGGGCTTTCTGAATTACACCAGTTTACAATAAACAAGAGAGAACGTTATAGTCGGGTTGGTGTCCCGACTATCTAATACCCGTCACTCGGCTAAAGAGAGTGCGAGAGAGATGGATATATACAATTTTGTTAATTGCGTATAACTTCATGAATGGTTCGATTTGAAAAATGTCTTCTACATTCGATAGGTATAAATATACACAACAAAATCTTTAAAGATGTGGGCGCGAGACACAAATACGCACTCTGTTTTTCGTGAAGGTAAATTTTTCTGATTAAGAAAAGGGAACTTACAATACAAGTTAGAAATTAAAAAGGTGTCAAAAACGTTTTTTACACTGTAAAAAAATTCGTACCATAATAAAAATTGTAAGTGCCGAAAAACAAAAACAAAGGTTTCCTTAAGTGCGTATTTCATCGATTTTTTTTGTAAACTTGGTATAAGGACTACTTACCACGGGGACAAGAAGTAATCTCCAAGCGAGGCAAGGCCCTGGGCACATAAAAAAACGCTTATCACCAAGACGAAGGGAAGGAGGCCGCCTGCAGCCTTAAAGTAATCGGTGTACACTCCCAAGCCAGAACGAGTAACATCCTTCCGCTCCAGGTTGATCACCGGTTCCTTCGGATCTTCCTCTAAACATGATTCCGCATTGGACAGCGCCGATTTCACACTGCTACGTCGCTCATCTGCGATGCAAGTGGTTCTTGATGGCTCCTCAATCGGCTCCTCGGGGTTTTCTCTGTTATCCAGAAAGCTGCCAAAGTCCGCGCCCGATTTTAGAAGCTCCTCATAGGTGCCCACAGCACTAATCTGGCCCTTATCCATGATCACTATTTGATCGGCTTGCTGCAGGAACTGCAGCTGATGGGTGGCCAGAATGACGATTCGATTTCGCAGATAGCCGCGCATGCAGTGCTCGAAGAGGTGGCGGGCTACATTGGAGTCCACCGCACTGAGTGGATCGTCTAGCAAGTAGATGGAGGCCTCCCGGTAGACAGCCCTGGCCAGACTGATTCTCGCCTTCTGCCCTCCCGATAGGGAAGCTCCGCGGTCTCCCACTATGGTCTTATCCTTCAAAGGAAGCAGCTCAAAGTCACGTTCCAGAGCGCATTCCCTCACCACCGAATAATATCGGCGACGGTCCATGGGCTGTCCAAAGAGGATATTCTGGCGCACGGTGCCCGAAAAAAGCCACGGTTCTTGGGAGGCATAGGAAATCGATCCATTAACCTTGATCTCACCAGATTCGGCCCGGAGTTCCCCCAGAACGGCTTGAATCAGACTGGACTTTCCGGAACCAGTGTGACCAACGATGGCCAACAAGGTGCCTGGATGGATCTTTAGGTTTACTCCACTTAGTGTGTAATCCGGTGCGTTGGTATCCCATTTGGCTTTAAGACCACATATGGATAAACATGCCTTCGAATGGACGGGTTCTTCAGTAGTAATGAAGCTACGAGTCGTTCCTATAAGTTTTTCGCCAGCCTCTGGAAGATCTTCTCCCGTTTCTGTGTAATCTACCTTGTTGTCCGAGGTTTCCACCTCTTCAGATAGCAAAAACTTTTGCACACGCCTGATCGAAACTAAGGTTTCTGCCGTCTGCGTGATGCCTAATGGAAAAAAGGCGGTCATATTGGTCCGCACGACGTTGTAGTACGCAGTAATTAGAAAAGCCACTTCCGCCGTAAGGAACTTTCCCAATAGCACAAACAGTACTAAACTAATAAAGATGGATACGCGTGTGAGGAACCTGTTGAATGAGGATAGCAAACCCTTTATGTAGGCCATGTATCGCATGGTATTGATCTCCTTTTCGCGTGCGTAGGAAACCATCCGCTCGAAGGGCAGCTCCCAGGCGTACATCTTTATCACCTGAATGCCGGAGATGATCTCAGTCATCATCCGCATTCGTTTGTCAGTCCGAAGAGAAGTCTTTAATCGTAGCACCGAGATCTTCTTGCTCAGATACATTTGCAGGGGTATGAAAAGTAGCATGAAGGACATGCCAAACACAGCGGCTATTCCTATCTGAAAATAAATGTTGATTTAACTTAACTCACGGGGGAAACTCACCGAACTCACCACTTGGTACATAAGATAGGTTACTAATAGCGTCTGGAGTGGGCCCAACCAAAGATAGTGCGTAAACTGAATAAAAGTGTCCACGCGACCCAGGTCGTTAGAAATTAAATTGATAACATGCCCGGCACATATTTCACCTAAGGCCGTCTTGCTCAATCGAAGGCTCTTCCTGTAGATCAAGCTGGTCAGACCCACCCGAATCTTAAGGCCTGCCAAACAAAAATAAAAAGAAGAAGAAGAAATGCTGATCTTCACGGAGTAACGGGTAACTGATAGTCGAGACACTCGACTTAATTTAATATTTTTTAAAGTAATGCGCTGAAGCTTTAGGACGCCAGGCTCATTCTTTTTCGTTCTATTGATTTGATTTTAAATAAAAAAAAACGTTTAAGGAACATACCTAGATGAGTGACGGCAAAAGAGTAGGGATGTTTGATAGTTACATCGAGGACAGTGCACAAAATCACTAAGGCCGCGTAAACATATGCTGGCTCAATGGTCTCCGTGTCGTGGGAGAAGAAAGATATTAACTTTCCCAGAAATACGGGTTGAAGCGTTGATATAGCCTCCACGATAAAGAGAACTAGTCCGAGGAAGACGAAATACCAGCCAAATACGCGCAGTAGAGTCCTCAGCAAACTGGCGTCCTTCTGGTAAGTCTCTAGTTCTGCCTCCCAGGCACTACATAATTTGTTGCCGAGTTTCTCTAAAAAATGTTCGTTAGGGAACTATCCGAAAATGAAGTAAATATAATCTTAAAGTCTCCCTCTTACCCGACTTGTGCTCTTTCAAGGCCCTGTAAAGGTCTTTCGTATCCAATGTGACCTTTCGCCCCTTAATAAAAGTGGGTATGGTATACCTACATTAATTATTTTGATATCACAAATATAATCTTTAGGTTTTTGATCTGTCTTACCAATAACTTAATACCGAAAAAATGTTCGATCGCTCTCGCGGATTTTCCGGAAGGTCTTCGGAATTTAATGACTGCATTTTGCACACTTTCTAAGAACTGAGCTGGTAGTTAAATTTACAAATTAAAATTGTATCAAAAAACAAGAAAGACCGCTATAGTCGAGTGCTTCGACTTTCAAAAACCCCTTACACAACTAAGGGAGATATCAAATTGATATTATCAATCACCAAAGCGACTGACGGTATTCACGCCACCTAGGGGATTTTTTATTATTCGCTCAAAACATCCGATTTGAAAAACATAAAAATCTTCATTCTACATTTTCGGTTTTAGGGGGTTTGACTGAGCGAAGCACCCTGATAAAACAAACTTGCGCTGCGCAGGAACCCTTTTAATTTTAATAATTTCCGAGATCACTTCTATATTTTTAAATTTATGTTTTTTTCCATGAAATTATAAAGTTTAACCGAGAAAACCAAGAAAATACAACAATAAACACAATCAGCTTTTAGGAGGCTTATCTAATCAAATTAATTAGAACGTAATCAGCCATTAACAAACTATTAAATATTGTATTTAATATAATAAGAGAAGCTGTCGTGCTACATTTATTAAATCATATTTCTAGCTTCCGAAATTCGTAATATAATTAGTAAGTTAAACAGCTATCCGTCCGCGCACCGAAAAGTTCAGCAAGGTACTAACAAGTGGTTGGGAGACCATCAGCTCGTATTGCCAAATTCGCCGCAGAGAAACGAGATAAGATTTAGTTTATAGTTTAATGGGGCTTTGTTTAAGAGTATGATTTTACAATTTTTATTGGACGCTCTGGCAAGAGCAGGAATATAAAATCTGTGGAAGATAAACATGTTTAATTATAAAACATAACTTTTTGCTTTTGCTTAGCGGTAATTAACTGCTTAGGCTTAAGTTCATCTCAAAAATAGTTAGATAAGATAAAAAAAACTTAATACTATACACTTGCACGTTTGTAATTAAAGTGCTGATTTCGTTAAATTGTACTCTCATAAAAACCTTAAAGTAATCTAATTCTCAAGAATTACAAATGAAATGAAATGAAATGATGGTTACAGCTTGAGAAGTAAATCTAAATCTGGAAATCTCCAACATTATCTGATATAACTACATATATACGCTGCACAACCTCTTATGCCTATAGAAGAAATTCCTTTACGTAGTTGCTGCATTTCCTGAAGAAGTAGCGCAGGCTGCACTTTCAAAGGACTAAAATTAAAATGTTGTTAAGTACTCAAGCAAATGGTGAAAATATCAAAAGTCAACCAACCGTTTGTACTATTTTCACCAGACTGTCGTAACAGGCCTGTCCCGTCTGCCTAACCATGTCGTGGAACACCTTCGAATCTACCGCTGTCAGAAGTTCATAGGGCGTCCCAAACTCCACAGCTCGTCCAGCATCCATTACCAATACCTTGTCCGAGTCCATGATGGTGTGCAATCGATGGGCGATCGTTAGGACAGTGCACTCCTTGAACTTGTTTCGAATGGTGGCTTGGATTAGAGCATCTGTCTGGGGATCCACATTGGCCGTAGCCTCGTCCATCACTAGGATTCTATTTTCCCGCAGAATGGCTCTTGCCAAGCAGACCAATTGGCGCTGACCCACGCTGAAGTTGGATCCTCCCTCGGTGATTTTGGTCTCTAAGCCAGTGGTCATATTGGCCACCACCTCCTTAAGCTGGACTTCCTCCAAGGAGAGCCACAACTTTTCATCACTGTACTCCTCAAAGGGATCCAAGTTGTATCGTATTGTGCCGGAGAACAGAACGGGTTCCTGAGGAATAATCGAGATTTTGCTGCGAAGGTCGTGCAGACCCATCTCATTTGTATCCCTTTTGTCAATCAGGACGGATCCATCGTTGTAGGACAGTCGGAAGAGGGCGTTAATCAGCGAGGATTTTCCCGCCCCAGTGCGTCCCACAATACCAATTTTTTCCCTTGGCCTAATGACGAAACTAAGTGATTTGAGCACATTTTCCGCCTTTGGATCCGGCGTATATCGCAGGCTCAGCTCATCAAACACAAGTTTTCCCTGCTCTGGCCAGGACTGGGGTGGCTTCTTATCCGCCGGGGCTTCCAATTCTCCCTCTGGCTCAATGTCCTCGTTCTCAATCACTCTCTCCACGGAAATCATCGTGGTTTCCAACTCGGCCGACTGGCGGACAGTCCATTGGACAATTCCCGTTAAGCCTATGGCCTGCAAAAATGTAATGTATTGATTTTTTAAGTAGAAGAAGTTTCCGGGTCTTTTACCTGTGTTATGGCTAGACCAACATCAGCACCACTGGCAGGGGGATAGACGAAGAAGCCGAGTGTGACTATCGCTAGGTAGAGTACACAGAATATATCCATCCAATAACCAAATGCGCGTGATGTGCTTATGAACATGTAGGCAGCGGAGCTGTGCATATCTTGATAGCTATCGAACTCCGCCTCTAAAATGCTCTGAGCTCCAAAAGCACGAATGGTGGACAGACCAGTCAGAGAAGAAGAAAAATGCGAATAAACTGGAGATCGAGCTGTGATAGAAATTATGTAAAATTTATACTGAACGAGAGAGGAAGCTATCTTCGGCCAGCCAAAGTTTATATGTCCTTGCAGATTATTTTTATTAGATTTAAATGCGTATATATTGTTATGTTAATTATATCCCTTACTGCGTTTCAAACTTCTGATTGAAATTATTATACCCTCTGTATAAAAGATACTCAGACTTCGCGCAAATAGAATCAATGTAGCGACTTATATTACATGAGAAGGAGCTATAAGGACCTATTCGAAATTCAATCTGTCATACTTCGATTTTGTTGTTTAAAAAGAGAGAAAACAGCAGGACAAAATAACGGGAATTATTTCAATTATGTTTTCTTACATTTTCGGACATATCAAATTGATTGTGCGATATCATCAAATTGATCATCATTTCGTAAAAAGTTTTTATTGTGTGTTACTTACCACTAGCCTCTAATCGCTTTACATCCCGCGAAGTTTGGAGGTAAAAGGTACGCAGCTGATAGAAGAATACACCTATTACGAGTGCGGGTATAAGATATACAGGATTGACAATGGATATGACTACGACATTGCCGGCAAGCGAGAGGAAGTCCTGAATGACGGTAATCATTATGGTGGGCAGCACCTCATCCACTTGACCCATATCCTTGGAGAAGCGATTTAGGATACCACCCGAAGGGTTGGTGTTGAAGAAGTACATGGAAGCTCGACTAATGCCACGAAACATGGAGTTGTGCAAACGAATGGAGGCCTTCATTGCCAAGTTGTAGAACAGAAAGGACCTTTTTACGGTCACAACAATGGTTAGCACTGTAATCAGCGTAAAAACGTAGATGTCGTGCATTGCGTCATTCTCAGATTTATGCTTAATTGTTAGGTCTTCTTTGAAACCGTCGTCGCGTTTTCCTGAAACCCTAAAGACAAAAAAATTCAACTCATGGGATCTCTCAATTAAATGAGGACTACTTACCAGGGGGACAAAAAGTAATCTCCAAGCGAGGCTAGGCCCTGGGAACCTAAAGAAACGGTTATCATCACGACGAATGGGAGAAGGCCGCCTCCTGCCTTGAAGTAATCGGTGTACACTCCCAAGCCAGAACGAGTCACCCATTTCCGCTCCAGCTTGATCACCGGTTCCTTTGGGTCTTCCTCTGGACAGGATTCCGCATTGGACAGAGCCGATTTCACACTGCTACGTCGCTCGTCTGTGATGCAAGGGATTTTTGATGGCTCCTCAATTGGCTCCTCGTGGTTTTCTGGATTGAGCAAAATGCTTCCGAAGTCTGCGCCCGATTTTAGAAGCTCCTCATAGGTGCCCACAGCACTGATCTGGCCCTTATCCATGATCACTATTTGATCGGCTTGCTGCAGGAACTGCAGCTGATGGGTGGCCAGAATGACGATTCGATCACGCAGATAGCCGCGCATGCAGTGCTCGAAGAGGTGGCGGGCTACATTGGAGTCCACCGCACTGAGTGGATCGTCCAGCAAGTAGATGGAGGCCTCCCGGTAGACAGCCCTGGCCAGACTGATTCTCGCCTTCTGCCCTCCCGATAGGGAAGCTCCGCGGTCTCCCACTATGGTCTTATCCTTCAAGGGAAGTAGCTCAAAGTCTCGTTCAAGAGCGCATTCCTTCACCACCGAATAATATCGACGACGGTCCATGGGCTGGCCAAAGAGGATATTCTGGCGCACGGTGCCCGAAAAAAGCCACGGTTCTTGGGAGGCATAGGAAATCGATCCATTAACCTTGATCTCACCAGACTCGGCACGGATTTCTCCCAGAACGGCTTGAATCAGACTGGACTTTCCGGAACCAGTGTGACCAACAATGGCCAACAAGGTGCCAGGATGGACCTGTAGGTGTACTCCACTTAGTGTGTAATCCGGTGTGTTGTTATCCCACTTGGCTTTAAGACCACATATGGATAAACACGCCTTCGAATGATCGGGTTCTTCAGTAGTAATGACGCTACGAGTCGTTCTTATGAGTTTTTCGCCTTCTCCTGTTTCAGTGTAATCTACCTTGTTATCCGAGGTTTCCGCGTCTCCAGATAGCAAAAACTTTTGCACACGCCTAATGGAAACTAGGGTCTCTGCCGTCTGCGTGATGCCTAGTGGAAAAAGGGTGGTCATATTAAGCCGCACGACGTTATAGTATGCGGTGACTAGAAAGGCTACTTCCGCCGTGAGGAACTTTCCCAATAGGACAAACACAACCAAACTGAGAAAAATGGATACGCGGGTGAGGAATTTGTTGAAGGACGAAAGGATGCCTTTAATATAGCTGACGTGCCGGATGGTATTGATTTCCTTTTTGCGGGCATAGGAAACCAATCGCTCGAAGGGCAGCTCCCACGCGTACATTTTTATCACCTGAATACCTGAGATGATCTCAGTCATTATCCGCATTCGGTTGTCCGTCCGAAGAGCGGTCTCTAGTCGAAGTACCGAGATCTGGTTGCCCAGATACATCTGCAGGGGTATAAAGAGTAGCATGAAGGACATGCCAAACACCGCCGCAACTCCAACCTGCAAAGGAATTTTAGTTGTGTTTAACTTTTTGGAGATAATCAATTTACGAAACTAACCTCCTTGTACAAAAGATAGGTTACTAAAAAGGTCTGAAGTGGGCCCAACCAAAGAATGTGCGTATACTGAAGAACCGAGTCCACTCGGTTCAGATCGTTGGAAATTAAAGTGATGATATGCCCGGCAGATATTTCGCCTAAAGAAGATTTGCTCAGGCGAAGGGCCTTCCGGTAGATCATGCTGCTTAGACCCACCCGAATCTTTAGGCCTGCGAAGCAAGTCCATGATTATTACTCTTATTTCATAATAACTCTATTCTATATGCTCTTTAAAATTCATACATAATTTCTTGGTATTTATTAGATAAAGAGAGTAAGAAACTTACCTAAGTGAGTGATGGCAAATGCGAAGGGATGTAGGAGGGTCACGCAGCAGACATTGCATAAAATTACTCCGGCTACATATGCATATGCTGACCCCTTGAACTCGGAGTTGTGGGAGAAGGAAGATATAAGCTTCACCAAAAATGTAGGCTGCATCGTTAGCACAGCCTCCATGATGAAGAGAACTAGGCCAAGGAACCCGAAATACCAGCCAAATACCCGCAGGAGAGTTCTCAGCAAACTAGCGTTCTTCTTGTGAGTCTCCAGTTCCATCTCCCATGCACTGCATAATTTATTGCCGAGGGTTTCTTTAAAAACGGTTACGGCAAAATTAAATACAATCTGAAAATCTGGAATCTTACCTGACTTGTGCTCTCTCAACGGCCTGTAAAGGTCCTTCGTATCCAATGTGACCTTGTGCCCCTTTAAAAAAGTGGGTATGGTATACCTAAATTAAATAAAGTGGGTAACTAAAAAATTATCGTTACATATTTGCACTGCCTTACCAAAAACTTAATATCGAAAAAATGTTTGATTGCTCTCGAGGGTTTTCCGGGAGATCGTTGCCTTTAACCGACTGCATTTTACACACTTTAAACAGATCTTGGAGTTAAATACAATAATTACAAATAACTTGACGCCCAGCTTTAATAAGGGTTGTCTAATCAAATTAATTTGATTGTTAATGCTTCTATAAAATCATATTTCAGGCATCAGAGCACTATAATATAACTAGGAAGTTCAACACCTTTCCGTCTGCTCAGCCAAAAAGTTCTGAAAGCCAATGACCAACGGTTAGGTTACTAAAGGCCCATACTGCCGAATTCGCCGCAGATATTCGAGATAAGATTTAGTTTATAGTTTTAAGGAACAACACTAAATAGTATTCGTTTGTATACGCCTTTACTCACAAAGAAATATTACATCTGTATAACATAAGCCTTAATCATTTTTCAAAAGTACAACATTACTCGAAATATTTGGTTAAGAGAACATTTTTGTCTAGACTTTATTTATTCTCAGTTAGATAAGATAACATTAAATTAGCACTAGACATACGCACGTGTATCCATTAAAACATAAAAGTAATCATATTTGAAAGATAACTATTTGAGAAGATATTAATGTGTAGTTTGTTCTTTTCATGAAGAAATACATTAATGCTGAACGCTTTCAAAGGCCTGAAATTAAGATTTTATAAATTATCCGGGTAAATGATGAACATGTCAAGTGATATCTAACCTTTTGCGCGATTTTCATCATGCCGTCGTAAGAGGCCTGTCCCGTCTGCTTGACCATGTCGAGGAACACCTTGGAATCTCCCGCTGTCAGAAGTTCATAGGGCGTCCCAAACTCCACAGCTCGCCCAGCATCCATTACCAATACCTTATTCGAGTCCATGATGGTGTGCAATCGATGAGCGATCGTCAGGACAGTGCAGTCCTTGAACTTGTTTCGAATGGTGGCTTGGATTAGAGCATCTGTCTGGGGATCCACATTGGCCGTAGCCTCGTCCATCACGAGGATTCTATTATCCCGCAGAATGGCCCTTGCCACGCAGACTAACTGGCGCTGACCCACGCTGAAGTTGGATCCTCCCTCGGTGATTTTGGTCTCCAAGCCCTTTTCCATATTGGCCACCACCTCCTTAAGCTGCACTTCCTCCAAGGAGTTCCACAATTTTTCATCACTGTACTCCTCAAAGGGATCCAAGTTGTATCGCATTGTGCCGGAGAACAGAACGGGTTCCTGGGGAATAATCGAGATCTTGCTGCGAAGGTCGTGCAGACCCATCTCATTTGTATCCCTTTTGTCAATCAGGACGAATCCATCGTTGTAGGACAGTCGGAAGAGGGCGTTAATCAGCGAGGATTTTCCCGCCCCAGTGCGTCCCACAATACCAATTTTTTCCCTTGGCCTAATGACGAAACTAAGTGATTTGAGCACATGTTCCGCCTTTGGATCCGGCGTGTAGCGCAGGCTTAGCTCATCAAACACGATTTTTCCTTGCTCTGGCCAGGATTGGGGTGGCTTTTTATCCGCCGGGGCTTCCAATGATCCCTCTGGCTCGATGTTCTTGTACTCAACCACTCTTTCCACGGAAATCATTGTGGTCTCCAACTCGGCCGCTTTGCGCATTGCGTACTGCACCATAGTTGTTAAACCGAGGGCCTGCATAAAAAAAAAAGGTTAAATGGAAGATTTAAAATGTTAGGGTTAGTTACCTGTGTTATGGCCAAACCCACATATCCTCCGTTAGCCGGCGGAAAGACGAAGAAACTTAGCGTAATAATAGCAATATACAAAACACACATACAATCTAGCCAATACCCAAAAGCCCTTGTTGTGGAAATAAACATGTAAAATGCCGAGCTTTGCACGTTCTGTAAGCTGTCAAACTCCATCTCCAGAATGTCCTGAGCTTCAAAAGCTCGAATGGTGCTTAGACCAGATAGAGAAGCGGACAAATGCGAGTAAACGGGGGATCGAGCTTTGAAAACATAGAAGAAAAGAAAGAAAAATTAGGAAACTATTTAAAACTATTTAATGATAGTCCTTACAAGCAGATTCAATTCGTTTTAGATCTCTCGAAGTTTTTAGATAAAAGGTTCGCAGCTGATAGAAAACGATTCCAACAAAAAGTGTTGGAATAAGCAAAAGCGGATTGACAATGGCTATCACGATGACTACTCCGGCCAGTAAAAGAAAGCTCTGTGTAACATATAACATCAAAAAGGGCAGTACCTCGTCTACTTGGCTCATGTCCTTGGAAAAACGATTTATAATTCGTCCGTGCTCATTTATACTGAAAAAGTACATGGAGGCGCGCATGATCGCATTAAATATGGTATTATGCAAACGAATAGAGGCATTCTTGTTGATGTTGATCAAAAGACTTCCAGAAGCCACGCTTAAAATAATGGTCAGGACCATGATCATCGTGAATATGTACATGTCCATTGTTTCTGAGTCCACAGACCACTCCATATCAAGCCAACTTATAAAGTGGCTCGCGACAGAAGTTCCTCCTTCGTCGGCAACTTGGCGTTTTTTGCTAACCCTAACAGAAAATAATTAAAATAAGATTATGGATTTCAGTAACCCATGTGTATAGATAATGCTTGCTTACCAGTAGGTCAAGAAGTAATCGCTTAATGAGATCACACCCTGGGCAATCAGGAAACAGCTAACCATGAAGAAACAGGCGAAAAATCCACCGCCCGCTTGGAAGTACTTCCTGTACAAGGAAAGACTGATGCCACCTGATGCTTGGTGCTCCACATTGACCTTCTCCGGACAAGAGTCTGCGATCGAATGCTCCGATTTTTCGCTGTTGCGGCGCTGCTCCTTGTGAATGTTACTGCAGATGCTCAGGTCCTCAGGATCTTCAGGATCTTCCTTCTCAGCTAAACCAAGCATGGTGACTCCTTCCTTAAGTAGCGACTCGTAGGTGCCCACAGCAATCAATTGGCCCCTATCCAGGACCAAAATCTGATCGGCTTGCTGCAGGAACTGCTGCTGATGGGTGACCAGGACTACTGTGCGTCCGCGCAGATAGCCACGGAAACATTCCTCGAAGAGATGACGGGCCACATTGGAGTCCACCGCACTGAGTGGGTCGTCTAGGAGGTAGATGGAGGCCTCTCGGTAGACAGCCCTGGCCAAACAGATCCTCGCCCTCTGTCCACCCGACAGGGAAGCCCCGCGATCTCCCACTATGGTTTTATCCTTCAAAGGAAGTAGCTCGAAGTCCCGTTCCAGAGCGCAACTCTTGACCACAGAGGCATACCGCCGACGATCCAAGGACTTGCCGAAGAGGATATTCTGGCGCACGGTGCCGGAGAAAAGCCACGGCTCCTGGGAGGCATAGGACAGGGAGCCATTAACCTCGATCTGTCCGCACTCCGCTTGCAGCTCACCAAGAATGGCCTGGATGAGGCTGGACTTGCCGGATCCCGTGGGACCCGTAATGCAAACTAGGGACCCGGGCTGAATTTTCACATTTATCCCACTAAGTGCGTAGTCGGGCGAGTTATGATCCCATCTGCCCGCAAACCTTGTGATCGAAATACCAGACAGAGGGGGTACGGAATGAATAATAGTGTCGGAGTCCGTCGGAGGCAATAGATTTTCTTCCGCTTCATCTTTATTTTCCTCCGTGTTAGAGTTCGTCGGCAGATGTGGGCTTCTTGCAGGCTGTTTCACCTCATCCAAAAGCATAAACTTTTCTATACGTTTTATAGTAACTAGGATTTGGGCCGAATGCGTTATGGCATATGGAAAAAATACGGTCATGGAGTTTTGAAGCACGTTATAATAGGCGGTTATCAGAAAAGCCACTTCCGGACTTAGAAGCTTCCCCAGCATGACATAGCCAACCAGGCTGAGGAATATGGAAACGCGTCCGATAAATAGTGGGAAGGCTAAGGTAAGATTTAATACATGTCCTCCTTGGGTAATAGTGTTAATCTCCTTTTTTCTAGCGTATGCCACAATTCGCTGGAAAGGTAACTCCCAAGCATACATTTTGATAACTTGAATGCCCGAGATTATTTCGTTAATCAACCGCATTCGCTTGTCCGTCCTTTTGGCCGCTCTTAATCGCAGCACTGCCGTGATCCTGCCAATATACAACTGCAGGGGTATGAAGAGCACCATGAAGACGACGCCAAAAACGGCTGCAACCCCAATCTGGAGAGAGTACATGTGAATGAATTCCGTATTACTCAGGAATATATTCATAACTTTGGCTTACCTCCTGGTACATCAAGAAAGTTATTACCAGCGTTTGTAGCGGACCCACCCACAAATAGTGAGCCTGGAAAGGATTACTGTCCAGGCGGGCTAAGTCTGTTGATATAAGATTAAGCACATGTCCGGACATTGAGTCGGCCAGTGCCCGATTGCTCAGCCGTAACGCCTTCCTATAGATCATGCTGCCTATGGCTATTCGCATCCTAAAACCTATAATATCGTTCAGCGATCACATTTTTTATTAACTGATATTTTATTGCCAGACTCACAAAGTTGTTGGATGCCAAAGAAGGCCGGATGCATGATGATCACGCTAAGGACACTGCTCATGATTAGTCCACCCGCATAGTAATAGCCTTTCTCAACAACTTCTGACTTGTTAACGAAGTAGGAAATAAGCTTTAGCAATAGCATTGGCTGAAGGGTTTTCAGTCCCAACTCCACCAGAAAGTAGAGCAGACCCAAAATACCGAATTGCCATCCAAACACCCGAAGAAGAACCCTTAGCAGATTCGGCTTACCCTTCGAATTTTTTAGTTCTCGCTCCCACGCAGAGGATAATTTGTTGCCAAGGGTATCTGAAAGCCCAGGCTATAATAAGTAGTATGTACATCAAAAGAAGAAGTTGTAGGTCAAAAGAACCACTCAATTTCGTGATTATAGCCCGACAACTTATGTTCTAAATTGAGGTGCTGTTTTAACGCATCAAAACTTTACAATACCCGATTTGTGTTCCTCTAAAGTCCTGTATATATCCTTTGTTTCCAATATTGCCTTGGACCCTTTTAAAAATATGGGCATAGTATACCTATAAATTTTGTATTGTTAGCTTACTTACAAATTTACGATTTTGGTTCTTACCAATAGCATAATGCCGATATAAAATTTGCTTTCTTTCTGGGATTCTCCTGTAGATCTTCAGTCTTTATTGACTGCATTTTAAAATAAGGTCAAGACTTGTTGAATCCAGTGCGAGGTTTAAATTAGGGTAAAATTCCTTAATTGTAAAACAAGTTTGCCGCAAAATAAATATAAATATTATAACCGAAACAAGAAACACGTCTTTTCACCTTAAAGTTCAGCAACCTACTGACGAGTGGTAAGCAATTGGCTAACAGTTCCAAGTTTTTAACAGATAAGTGAGATAAGAGTTAGTTTATAATTTGAAGTGAAGGCTGTGGATAATTCGGTGGAAGAGCGTATATTTAAAATAATTGTACAAAACTATATTCATAAATTAAAAAAAAAATGCTTATCTTAGAATTTGGCAGTGTTACTATTTTTGGTTTTACTCTTTTTTTTTAATTTTCCGACTTACTCTCTTCTGCCATAGACGTCCGTGCCTAATCTTGTACGTTATCTCTATTTTGGTGGTGGTTTCGACACACCATTCTTTGCTTACAAGCGGGTTTTTATCTTTTCACATGCGAGGGCCGCCGATTAAACTAGTTTGCAGGCAAAATATTCAAAAAAGGATGATGGTAATTCCTGGTAGATTTGGATTCCTAGATTACAACAAAAGTCAACCAAATTGTTCATTAAAATCCATCCTAGTGACGGATTTCACGCTGTTCTCTCTAGAGCAGCTTTATGGCATTGGTCCATCATAAAGACCTTCTGACGAAGAGGATCTTTAAAATCAAAGTCAACGACAAGACCTCAGGTCCGGCGAACCTGCTAAACTGAATCCCACAATAACCCCTATCGGTAGACCTTTTTATCATTGCTTTTAATCACATCATTATACCCGTTACTCGTAGAGTAAAAGGGTATACTAGATTCGTGCAAAAGTATGTAACAGCTAGAAGGAAGCGTTTCCGACCCCACAAAGTATATATATTCTTGATCAGGGTAACTAGCGAGTCGATCTAGCCATGTCAGTCTGTCCGTCTGTCCGTCTGTATGAACGCTGAGATCTCAGAAACTACAAAAGCTAGAAGGTTGAGATTTCCCACACATATTCTTTGGCTTCCTACGCAGCGCAAGTTTATTTTAGCCGAGCGCCACGCCCCCTCTAACGCCCACAATCGCCCACTAACGATTTTAAAATGGGTCCTGCGCCCACATCTTTAAAGATTTCCGAGAAGTATAAATGCAATTTTGTTGTGTATATTTATACCTATCGAAATGTAGAAGACATTTTTCAAATCGGACCATTCATTAAAAAGTTATACGCTTTATAAATTGTCAACATATATCTATCTCCCTCGCACTCCCTTTAGCTGAGTTACGATTATTAGTCGGGACACCAACCCGACACAGCGTTCGCACTCCCTTTAGCTGAGTGACGGGTATTAGATAGTCGGGACACTAACCCGACTATAGCGTTCTCTCTTGTTTTGATGTAGCCTAGTACTCACTTCAATCGAAAAGCCTGTCATTTTTGTGTAGAAATTTTCGTTTCGTTGCCTTTTTGGTTTAGGTGAGTACTGGGCTTTAATAGAAAAATGCCACATACTTTACATTTGTCTCAAAATCCGCTGTTGCTTCACAAGTATAGAGTTCAGAAATAAAACAAGGGAGAACGCTATAGTCGGGTGGGTGTCCCGACTATCTAATACCCGTCACTCAGACAAGGGGAGTGCGAGGGAAATGGAAATATAAATTTTGATTGCGTATAACTTTTTAATGAATGGTCCGATTTGAAAAATGTCTTCTTCATTTCGATAGGTATAAATATACACAACAAAATTGCATTTATACTTCTCGGAAATCTTTAAAGATGTGGGCGCAGGACCCATTTTAAAATCGTTAGTGGGCGATTGTGGGCGTTAGAGGGGGCGTGGCGCCCGGCTAAAATAAACTTGCGCTGCGTAGAAAGCTTAAGAATATGTGTGGGAAATCTCAACCTTCTAGCTTTTGTAGTTTCGGAGATCTTAGCGTTCATACGGACTGACAGACAGACAGACGGACGTGGCTAGATCGACTCGGCTAGTGACCCTGATCAAGAATATATATACTTTACAGGGTCGGAAACGCTTCCTGCTCCCTGTTACATACTTTCGCATGACTACAATATACCCTTTTACTCTACGAGTAACGAATATAAACAGCTTCAAAACATTCCCAACGTCGCTGGTACATTGCTTGTGGCCGAAGTACGGCTACCAAATAGGCTATTCACAAACCCAAATCGTTGTTTATGGAACTTAAAGCTTTCTTTAAAAAACACAGACTCCCAGGAATCCCTTAACCCTTCAAAGATGCGCAGAGCATGGTGCTTTTATTCGGTTCGCAGTTCATAGGCAGAGCATAATTACTAGCTCTCTTCATCCCTGGAAAGACGTATCGCAAAATATCAAAAAAGATCTCCACTTCTTTGCTGAACCTGACACAACCAACTCAGTTTTTCAAGCCCATTTTAGGCTTCTTAGATGATTATACACTTTTATTTTTACAGGAAATATTTTTGTCCAGACTTTATTTATTCTACAGATAGTTAGACAAGATAACATAGAATTAGCACTAATCATATCATAAACATATTTGAAAGATAACCATTTGAGAAGATATTAATGTGTAGTATGTTCATTTTATGATGAAATACATTAATGCTGAACGCTTTCAAAGGCCTGAAATTAAGATTTTACAATTATCCGGGTAAATGATGAACATGTCAAGTGATATCTAACCTTTTGCGCGATTTTCATCATGCCGTCGTAAGAGGCCTGTCCCGTCTGCTTGACCATGTCGAGGAACACCTTGGAATCTCCCGCTGTCAGAAGTTCATAGGGCGTCCCAAACTCCACAGCTCGCCCAGCATCCATTACCAATACCTTATTCGAGTCCATGATGGTGTGCAATCGATGAGCGATCGTCAGGACAGTGCAGTCCTTGAACTTGTTTCGAATGGTGTCTTGGATTAGAGCATCTGTCTGGGGATCCACATTGGCCGTAGCCTCGTCCATCACGAGGATTCTATTATCCCGCAGAATGGCCCTTGCAACGCAGACTAACTGGCGCTGCCCCACGCTGAAGTTGGATCCTCCCTCGGTGATTTTGGTCTCCAAGCCCTTTTCCATATTGGCCACCACCTCCTTAAGCTGCACTTCCTCCAAGGAGTGCCACAGCTTCTCATCACTGTACTCCTCAAAGGGATCCAAGTTGTATCGCATTGTGCCGGAGAACAGAACGGGTTCCTGGGGAATAATCGAGATCTTGCTGCGCAGGTCGTGCAGACCCATCTCATTTGTATCCCTTTTGTCAATCAGGACGGATCCATCGTTGTAGGACAGTCGGAAGAGGGCGTTAATCAGCGAGGATTTTCCCGCATCAGTGCGTCCCACAATACCTATTTTTTCCCTTGGCTTAATAACAAAACTTAGGGACTTGAGCACGTTTTCCGCTTTTGGATCCGGCCTATATCGCAGGCTCAGCTCATCAAACACGATTTTTCCCTGCTCTGGCCAGGACTGGGGCGGCTTTTTATCCGCCGGGGCTTCCAATGATCCCTCTGGCTCAATGTCCTCGTACTCAATTACTCTCTCTACCGAAATCATGGTATTGTTCAACTCGGCGGCTTGGCGCATTGCAAACTGCACCATAGTTGTTAAACCGAGGACCTGCATAAAAATTAAAGGATAAATGGAAGACTAACAAGAGAGAACGCTATAGTCGGGTGCCCCGACTATCAGATACCCGACACTCATCTTAAGAAGGGCGAGGACGAAGGAGATATAAAATCGCGCATAACTTTTTAACGAATGGTTAGATTTAAAAAAAATTCTAAATTTCAATAAATATTGATAAACACTGAATTTTTACTTTTCCGAAATCTTTAAAGCTGTGGGCGCCAGACATCGTTTAGGGCGATTGTGGGCGTTAGAGGGGCGTGGCGCTCGGCTGAAACTAACTTGCGCTGCGTAGGAAGCCAAAGAATATGTGTGGGTAATCCCAACTTTCTAGCTTTTCTAGTTTCCGAGATCTCAGCGTTCATACGGACAGACAGACATACGGACAGACAGACATACGGACATGGCTAAATCGACTACTCGGCTACTGACCCTGATCAAGAATATATGGGACGTTCCATATCATACGGACGGACAGACGGACGGTCATGGCTATATCGACTCGGCTAGTGACCCTGATCAATAATATATATACTATATATACTTTATAGGGTCTGAAACGCTTCCTTCTCCCTGTTACATACTTTTGCACGAATACGATACTTTTACTTTTACTCTTTTACTCTACGAGTAACGGGTATGAAAATGTTGAGGGTTAGTTACCTGTGTTATGGCCAAACCCACATATCCTCCGTTAGCAGGCGGAAAGACGAAGAAACTTAGCGTAATGACAGCAATATACAAAACACACAAACAATCTAGCCAATACCCAAAAAACCTTGATGTGGTAATAAACATGTAAAGTGCAGAGCTGTGCATGTCCTGTAAGTGGTCAAACTCCAACTCCAGAATGTCCTGAGCTCTAAAAGCTCGAATGGTGCTTAGACCAGATAGAGAAGCGACCAAATGCGAGTAAACGGGGGATCGAGCTTTGAAAACATTAAATAAATTAAAGAAACACAAGAAAGGAAGCTTGCTTCGGTCAGCCGAAGCTTATATACCCTTGCAGAACATTCCTATTAACTTACAAAAATATTAAATTTAGATTTCGAAATATATAGGCATTAATTTTTTGATCCTTTTTATGGCAGCTATGTAATGTAACAGTCCGATTTTTGTTGGATTTAATTCAAAATTTTGAAATGTTGAGGAAAAGCTATATCTTAAAGAAGAATATTATGTAAAAAACATTTAATTGTTTTCCTATTTATTTTCCATTTAATTTTTCGATAGTGATCCAATTTTTTCAAAATTAAATTCGAAGTTCATAAATACTCAAAAAATAATATTCCCAATAGTAGAAAGTAATATATCAAAAAACACCGAAGCAAGAAGTTTTTTTCGGTATTTTTTCCGATCCTTCCTATGGGAGCTATAAGATATAGTTGTCAGATCCGGCCGGTTCCGACCTATATACTATCTGCAATAGAAAGAAGACATTTGAAAGTTTCATCCCGATAGCTCAAAAACAGAGTCTAGCTTGCGTAGAAACGGACAGACGGACGGACAGACGGACAGTCGGATCAGGATCAGGATCACTAGTCCGGACAGAATAGGAATCGCTTTCTGTTACATAAAGTACATACATAATCTACAATTAATGGGTATATAAGTGATATACAAACTGCAAAAGTGTTTAAAATTTGTTTAAAGTAAAATAATAGTACTTACAAACTGCTTCAATGCGTTTTAGATCCGTCGCCGTTTTTAAATAAAATGTTTGTAGCTGATGAAAAACTATTCCTATAACAAGTGTTGGAATAAGCAAAATCGGATTGACAATGGCTAACACGACGACTACGCCGGCCAGTAAAAGAAAGCACAGTGCGACAAATAACATCAATTCGGGCAGTACCTCGTCTACTTGGCTCATGTCCTTGGAAAAACGATTCATAATTCGTCCGTGGTCATTTATACTGAAAAAGTACTTGGAGGCGCGCATGATCGCATTAAATATGGTATTATGCAAACGAATAGAGGCATTCTTGTTGATGTTGATCAAAAGAAGTCCAGAAGCCACGCTTAGAATAATGGTCAGCACCATGATCATCGTGAATATGTACATGTCCATTGTTTCTGAGTCTACAGACCACTCAATATCAAGCCAACTTATAAAGTGGCTCGCGACAGCAGTTCCTCCTTCGTCGGCAACTTGGCGCTTTTTGCTAACCCTAACAGAAAATAATTATTAATATTATTATTATATTATTAATATTAATAATAAATTATTAATAATTAGAATAAGATTATGGATTTCAGTAACCCATGTGTATAGATAAAGCTTGCTTACCAGTAGGTCAAGAAGTAGTCGCTTAATGAGATCACACCCTGCGCAATCAGAAAACAGCTAATCATGAAGAAACAGGCGAAAAATCCACCGCCCGCTTGGAAGTACTTCCTGTACAAGGAAAGACTGATGCCACCTGATGCTTGGTGCTCCACATTGACCTTCTCCGGACAAGAGTCTGCGATCGAATGCTCCGATTTTTCGCTGTTGCGGCGCTGCTCCTTGTGAATGTTACTGCAGATGCTCAGGTCCTCAGGATCTTCAGGATCTTCCTTCTCAGCTAAACCAAGCATGGTGACTCCTTCCTTAAGTAGCGACTCGTAGGTGCCCTCGGCACTCAATTGGCCCCTATCCAGGACCAAAATCTGATCGGCTTGCTGCAGGAACTGCTGCTGATGGGTGACCAGGACTACTGTGCGTCCGCGCAGATAGCCACGGAAACATTCCTCGAAGAGATGACGGGCCACATTGGAGTCAACCGCACTGAGTGGGTCGTCTAGCAGGTAGATGGAGGCCTCTCGGTAGACAGCCCTGGCCAAACAGATCCTCGCCCTCTGTCCACCCGACAGGGAAGCCCCGCGATCGCCCACTATGGTTTTATCCTTTAAAGGAAGCAGCTCAAAGTCCCGTTCCAGAGCGCAACTCTTGACCACAGAGGCATACCGCCGACGATCCAAGGACTTGCCGAAGAGGATATTCTGGCGCACGGTGCCGGAGAAAAGCCACGGCTCCTGGGAGGCATAGGAAAGGGAGCCATTCACCTCGATCTGTCCGCACTCCGCTTGCAGCTCACCAAGAATGGCCTGGATGAGGCTGGACTTGCCGGATCCCGTGGGACCCGTAATGCAAACTAGGGACCCGGGCTGAATTTTCAGATTTATCCCACTAAGTGCGTAGTCGGGCGAGTTATGGTCCCATTTGGCCGCAAACCTTGAGATCGAAATACCAGAAAGTGGGGGTATATTAGTGTCGGAGTGCGTCGGAGGCAATAGAATTTCTTCCGCTTCATCTTTATTTTCCTCCGTCGGCAAATGTGGGCTTCTTGCAGGCTGTTTCACCTCATCCAATAGCATAAAGTTTTCTATACGTTTCATAGAAACTATGATTTGCGCCGACTGATTTATGGCAAATGGAAAATATACGATCATGGAGTTTTGAAGCACGTTATAGTAGGCGGTTATCAGAAAAGCCACTTCCGGACTAAGAAGCCTTCCCAGAATCACATAGCCAACCAGGCTGAGGAATATGGAAACGCGCGATATAAATAATTGGAAGGCTAAGGTAAGATTGTATAAATATGCCCCTTGGGTAATAGTGTTAATCTCCTTTTTGCGAGCATATGCCACAATTCTCTGGAAAGGTAACTCCCAAGCATACATTTTGATAACTTGAATGCCCGAAATTATTTCGTTGATCAACCGCATTCGCTTGTCCGTCCTTTTGGCCGCTCTTAATCGCAGTACTGCCGTGATCCTGCCCATATACAACTGCAGGGGTATGAAGAGCACCATGAAGGCGACGCCAAACAGGGCTGCAATCCCAATCTATAGGGCGATACATGTGAATTGATCATAATTCGGAAATTCTAGCTTACCTCTTGGTACATCAAGAAACTGATTACCAGCGTTTGTAGCGGCCCAATCCACAAATAGTGAGCCTGGAAGGGTTTACTGTCCAGTCGGGCTACGTCGTTCGATATAAGATTAAGCACATGTCCAGACATTGAGTCGGCCAGTGCCCGATTGCTTAGCCGTAGTGCTTTCCTATAGATCATGCTGCCTATGGCGATTCGCATCTTGAAACCTACAAAATCGTTTAGCGAACACATTTTGTATAAACTGATAATTTGTTAGCAGACTCACAGAGATGTTGGATGCCAAAAAATGCCGGATGTATGATGATCACGCCGAGGAAACTGCTTATGATTAGTCCACCCGCATAGTAATAGCCTTTCTCAACAACTTCTGATTTGTTAACGAAGTAGGAAATAAGCTCTAGCAATAGCATTGGCTGAAGGGTTCTCAGTCCCAATTCCACCAAAAAGGTTACTAGTCCCAAAATACCGAATTGCCACCCAAAAACCCGAAGAAGAGCTCTTAGCAGATTCGGTTTACCCTTCGAATTTTTCAGTTCCCGCTTCCACGAAGCCCATATTTTGTTGCCAAGGTTATCTGAAAGCCCAAGTTATGAAAGTATATAGATCATAAGAAGATATGCTAACTGTAAAGATAAAGCACTCAATTTCTTGATTATAACCAGACCACTAATGTTCCTAATCGTGGGTCTGCTCTAACGCATGATAACATAATAACGATATATTACCCGACTTGTGCTCCTTTAAAGTCCTGTAAACATCCTTGGTTCCCAATATTGCTTTGGACCGTTTTAAAAATACTGGCATGGTATACCTACAAATTTATTTATAGTTAGTTTACTTACAATTTTACGGGATAACGACATATCCCGCCCAGTGCACTTCTTCGGCGAAGATATGTCTTCCAGCAGAGATATGACCTTTAAACACGAGATATTTTCGCGCGGAGATATGTCGTATTATACGTCATATCTCCGCGCGGAGATATGTTGTCTGTAGAAGGGCGGAGATATCTCGTGCGGAGATTTGACGCTATGCCCCTACTCTTTCTGCGAGATAACGACATATCTCCGCCCAGTTTGTTTTGTCAGCGTAGATATGTCGTGATTTATTTGGCGGAGATGTGACGTTTAAAAACGACAAATCTCCCCCGTCGATCAACGCGCTTCTGAAAACGACATACAGTGATGACCTTAATTATTGGCACACTTGGCATCTTGGACTTTATTTTGTTTAATTTTTATACCCGTTACTCGTACAGTAAAAAGGTATATTGTATTCGTGCAAAAGTATGTAACAAGTAGAAGGAAGCGTTTCCGACCCTATAAAGTATATATATTCTTGATCAGCGTCACTAGCCGAGTCGATCTAGCCATGTCCGAATGTCTGTCTGTCCGTATGAACGCTGAGATCTCTGAAACTACAAATCTAGAAGGTGGAGATTTCCCACACATATTCTTGGGCTTCCTACGCAGGACAATCGCCCACTAACGATTTTAAATTGTGTCTGGCGCTAATACCGTTACAGATTTCTGAAAAGTATAAATTTTGTTGTGTATATTTATACCTATAGAAATGTAGAATACATTTTTTAAATCGGACCATTCATTAAAAAGTTATGAGCAATCAAAAATATGTTATATATCTATCTCCCTCGCATTCCCTTTAGCTGAGTGACGGGTATTAGATAGTCGGGACTATAGCGTTCTCTCTAGTTTTATATTTATAATAATAAATATTATCACTATGGACGGCAGTCCATGTAGTGACGAAGCGCACCAGGAGAGTGTGCGAAGGCGACTACTATTATATAGCCGCAAAATTGAAAATCGGCAGTGATAGTCCGATCGTAATGAGTAATACACCAATCGAAAGGTATTGCAAAAAATGCGACTAAATAAGTACGCTACCTAAAATTTATTCATTCGGCACGCTAAAACAGAAAAACATTCGTGTAGATATTAAATATTTGCTAAAGCGGGCCGAACGAGTAAATTTTAGGTAGCGTACTTATTTAGTCGCATCTAAAATTATTTTTCGTCACAAAAGTTGATATCAGAACTTTTGTACGTTGAAGGTGCGATCGTCACTAGTTTTTTACCTCGTTAAGAGGTGTTTTTATTTGATAATATATTAGTCGAAAGAAATGGAACCTAAAGTCCAAGATGCCAAGTGTGTCAAGAATTAAGTTTATCACTGTAACATAAATGACGTTTAAAAATGAAATATCTTCGCGCGGATATATGTCGTTTTTAAGTTCATATCTCCGCATAAGATATGTCGTTCGTAGAAGGGCGGAGATATGATGCTATGCCCAATTTTACAATTTTGGTTTCTTACCAAAAACATAATGCCGAAATAAAATTCGCTTGCTCTCTGGGATTATCCGGTAGATCTTCAGTCCTTACAAACTGCATTTTAAAATCCAATGTGATTTTTAAACTAAGATAAAAAAACTCTTAAGAAGTATATTTTAAAATATTTTAAAAAAGATTTTACAATTTACAATTAATAAATTTTATTTTTATAATCTTTCCACAAAAAAAACAACCGAAGCAGGGAACTCGACTCTTCACCCGAAAGTTCTGCAAACTACTGACGAGTTGTAAGCAATTGGTTATTAGTGTCAAATTCTCAACAGATAAGTGAGATAAGAGTGAGTTTGTGATTTACGGTGTCCACTGTGGATAATTCGTTGAAAAAAGTGTATTATTAAACAGTTATGCTAAACTACTTTTATAAATTACAATAATAAAATGTATGAATATTTCATATCTGGCTGTGGTTTTATCCATGGTTTTTTGTGCAAAATAGTTATACGCTAATATTAATTTAAACTAAGTTCGGTGAAAGTCTAGTCTATACACAAACCACCTAACAGCTTTTTGTGACGCCAAAATACAATTTTTAGAATGAAATATTTTGGGTTGTTAATCTAAATATGTATCTGTTTCTTAACGTATAACTTTATTGAGAAAAAATTGTATAATTTAGATCCAATTAAAATCTTTTTAAGGCTTTTTATACTCTCATAGATAAGTAACAATTAAAAAATACTTAATTTTTTGAGAAAAAAATAAAACTTTTATTTTCCTCAGTAATGGGTTAATATAATAATATAATAAACTTGCTTAAAAAGCTTTAAACTATACCAAATTCAAAGTTCGAAAGGCTACGGCAAGTACCATCGCATGTGAGTAGCGTTATACACACCTACAATTATTATCACACCGGGGTATTGAAGTTATCAGCAAAAAGAGAACTAAAATTCTCCCGGAATATATGTACAGTAAAGATAAGTATTGCATATGGAGAGCTTGGCCAGTTGGTAGTGAGTTGGTTTGAAATTGACTACGTAAATGGGGGTACAAAAATATTGCCAAACAGAAAGTGAGCCAGTTAGCCAACGGTGGTCGATCCAAGCAGTCAGAAGTTTCAATTGAGATCGTTAAAATAAACGATGGCCATGAGGGGATATAGCCTATGTGTCTTTCTGATAACAGCAATCGTTGTCAGCCAGCTGGACAGTAGTTGGGCCATACGTAAGCCGTTAATTTCCTTATAAGATTTTCATCTAATTTTTCTTTTACTTAACGCAGAATGCTATAACTGCACTTCGCCGTTTACTTCCGCTGAAAGCTGTCTAATGAACCCAACTACCCAAACTTCTTCGCAAAGTAATTGCACTGAGTGTTTCACCTCCATAAACACAGGTGAGCTTGTGTGACTCATGACCGACTATTTCATATTCTTAGGCAAAGGTAAATGCAGTCAGTGGACTCTCTTATCGATCAGGGCAGCTACATGCGATAAGCGATTATCTCTCATTGATAGCACTGATCCTTATTTTACACGAATTCTTTTTATTTTCGAGCGGTAAAAACATTTATTATTTAGTGATTCATTCAGGTATTATTCCATGAGCTGGCTTTTGTTATATGTCGTTATTAACAAATAAATGTATTATGAAAATCGATCAATACTTATATGTAAAAGAACTTGGACAATGTGACACCATACGTTTCACTATTACTATTATCATTAATTTAATAAACGATTTAAGCGCTTAGAACTTAGAACTTCTGTCAGTAGATACTTTTCCATTTTATTTTTATCCATTTCTTCTTGGTCTGTTATATCTGGTTATAGCTTCACCTTGGTCTGTTATATATGGTCTATCAATATGTATAGTATTTAATATAAGATCAACCTAGTCAGTGGCAGATCTAGAATTTTGTTGTGGGGGTGATATCAGAAGAATTTTTTTGTTGCATACTTTTTGAATATCAAAACTTTAATTTTTCACCCCAGTGGGGGTGAATAGCACCCATATCACCCCCCGTGGGTCCGCGCATTAACCTAGTGTTGTTTCATAAAGTCTAGTGCCATGGATATTGATTTCCTCTCTTCCAGATGGAACTTTTACACGTGGCTGCTTGGACAGTGGTACACCCTGCGCTTTGCCCTCCTGTATGTCCTGCAACGGGGAACACTGCAATACGAATCGCGTGTGCCAGCAATGTCTCGGCTCAGAGGATTGCGCTACGACCAGTGTAAACGCTACGAAATACAGTGCGGTCTGCTCCAACGATAGCCAGGTGTGCGTCAACCAGGTGAATGACAACCAGACGGTGACACGTCAGTGTGGCAACGCATGCGCCAGCGGTTTGGATGCCTCCAAATGCTCCTCCTGCACAGCGTCTCTGTGCAACGGGGGATACTTTCCCGAGAGTCGTCGACAGTGCTATACTTGCTCGGGAGAGGGTTGCGATACGGCTGCGGAATCAATGATCGGAGGATGTACTCAAATCGATGCCAAGTGCTTCACCACCGGAACGTCTGCGACCAACATGACCCGTGGCTGCACATCGAATACCACGGGAATCACTTGTGCGGCTAATAGCACCGATCCCAGTTGCCTCATCTGCGACTCCAACTCGTGCAACTCTCTGCAGTACGAAAGGGACGCCGGATCCTGTATGGTTTGCGACAACTGTCCGGCGACACCGGAGGCGGATAAGAAAAAGTCCTGTGGCCAGGCCCTTTACAACCAGACGACCGGATGCTACACGGTGACTACGGGCAGCACAGTAAATCGAGGATGCTTAAACAATTTGGTCGGCGAGTGCTCTGTGACCAATTCCTGCACTTCCTGCTCGGAAACGGACTGCAATGTGGGCGCCGTGGACATCGCATTCCAGTGCATCGCATGCATCTCGAATGAGGTTTCCGACTGCTGGTCAGCCAAAGATCCGAACAGTCTGCCTGTTGTGGACTGCGCCAGCGGAACCTGCTTCAGCGGAGTTTGGAGTAAGTTCTTGCTAAATCAAAAAGCAGACAATTTTTTAATCGCAGTATCCACAAAACTATCTCTACAAGTTCCTAAAATATCGTAGCAAAAATGAGGTCAATTTCTTCATGTTTTTCGCCCCGATTGGAACCTCTAAAAGTAGTTTTCTGTTTTCAAAATTTTATATTTTATTTAATTTTTTGTTGACATTAAATTAGTATAGACTTTTTTATTACACATAATAAAAGTCGGACAACTATATCATACGCTAAAATAGCACCGTGCCACAAATTTCAATTTAAGTACTTGGAAGATATATTTAAACAAAATTTTATTTTATAAATAGGCCTAGCCAATTTACAAGTTTTTTTCTTAATGTTCTGCAAACAAATATTCATTTAAGCAAAAACTACACACAAAAGGAATATGACATTGATCAAATTTATAAACATTATATTCTTTGCACGAAAAGGTTTAATACATTTTCAATAAATTTTTACAGATGGACTTGGCGTTCGAGACTGCTTTAGCTCCGCTAGCCAATTGATGCAGTACCAGTGCAATGCCAATTTGGAGGCTCATCAGTGCACTTTGTGCACCACGCCCACCAAGTGCAACAATAAGGCATTCAACGCAGCCGCCTCCCTCAACCAGATGGGCTTGATCGGACTGCTGACGGCCTTAGTGATCGCACTTCGCAGTACCCTGTAATCCTGGAACTTCAGAGTTAGTTCCCTAATCTATCCCAGTTATCAGGATGTGGCTAAGTCTAAGTAATGCTGGATAATACAGAGCAGCAGACAGAAATAAAAGAAACATAACAAAAATTACTAAAGCTAATTAAGAATACTTTTATAATCCAAAATAAAACATCTGTAAATAACCATATTGTTTTTCTGTGAGTTTTGAAATTATTTAGACGGTGAATACCTTCTTAATCAGTTATTGGTGGTAGACAAAGGGTTTAAACAGTTACAGCTTATCAAAGAGGAAAAAAATAGTATCAGATAATGATAACAGCTTATCAACATAAGTATCAATAAAAATAACCAAAGCCGTAAATATAAGGTTAGAAAACCTGATCCAATATAACTTTAACTTATTCATTTTTTGTCATTACTATTAATATTTAGTATTATTATCCTAGCTCAGAAAGTTTATACTTACATATCATATTGAATTAAAAAAGCAAACTTATTTTATTTTCATTATCTTGACAGTATAGTGAACTAAAGAAGTACAAGCTGTCAAAGTACCACTGCAAACCAATAATCACAATGTATTTAAATATATATTTTTATTTATTGGAACAATAATAATTTACAGTTTGTTAATAACAATATTCATGAAGAAATTATGAAGTTTTAATAAAGTAGAGTGAGAAGCCAAATTTAAATACCCTTTGTGCCATTATCAAGTATCCATGTTTAAATGCCTTTTATAAGACTAAATTATGGCGTCTATTTACACCCTTACTAAAAGCCAACCGATCAAATTTAAGATCAAAATAATTGATGCCATTATTTGAGTTCCTCCGCCAGTCACCAATCCGTCCTTGGTTATGTCCACATAATTGCAATCATCATCGAAACACTTGTCGCAGTATTTTTCATTCTTCTTACAATATTCTCGACTGCCCTCGTCTAGATCGGAAAGACAACTTCTCACCATAAAGCCGTGTGGACCTCCAGCGGTGTTTGTGAAATTAAAAAAAATGGATATGCAACCGTTGAGTTCGCCCAATTTAATGGGACACATCTTTTTTCCCTCACTATTTCTAGTTTTTCCCTCCTTTGGGGAACAATATGCACAACTAAGGCATCTTAAGGGCGGAAAAACGGTTGTCGTGATTGGTTCCTCGGTAGCTGCCAATATTTCCTTGTTTTCGTGTTCCTGTTTTTTAGGTTTAATAATTTTTGGTATAAATGCTGAACTCTTAACATTAGTAGTCAAATTAAAAGTCTTCACTTGGGCATTATACTGGGCTTCAAGCAACGGTAGTAAAACAATTAATATAACATTCTTGATGAGTAGCTCCATTTTCAGTTATATTTTCTGTTTATCCTTAGAGTTTTATTCCCAGTTTAGAAATTTATTTTATTATTCTTGCGATTTCCATGTAGTTTGGCTAACAACTGAATCCTGATTAACTACACTCTAGTAAAAATCACTGCCATTACATTACATTTAAGTAAATTGTTTCTGAAGCTCAGGGGACTTTTGACTACTTTTAAAAGTCGACCTCAGTATCCCTGTACCATTAAATAGTTTGCTTAATAATTAATGCAATGGACCCACTATAATTTAAGGAAAGTAAGTACTCGTAATATTTGTCAAGTACTTAGCGTGCATTTATTTACCATTGTGCAAAAGGAGTATTAAATTTGTTTGATTTATTGGCGACCCCGAATCCAATATAAATTATATAAAGAAGTTAGGGTTTATTTTTCAATAATTTATTTTAAAATATTTTTCATTTAAAATTACGAAAATACATATTTTTCAGACAAACAATTCATTATTATTAGACTTATGTGTTTTGTAGATAAAATAATATTATCTAAGCAGACTGCCGATCTAATCTGCTCAATATTAGTCATACTTATCGATTTTTAAGTGCGCCACTCTCCATTTACTTATTAATTGTTATGACTCAGAATTGCGGGGGCTGGTATTTTCTAATATAGCCCCTGCCAACTGAATAAACAGATGCTCCAGATAAGAAATGGGGCCAGTTGATGTTGGTTGGCAGTAGCAGTGCCCGGAGTCTCTTCAAATTGTGTCATATTATGAATATTACAATTGTCTTCGTAGCACGTTGAACACAGCTTCTTATTATCATCGCAATAACGGGGAAACGAAATTTCTAACTCGGAAATGCAGCCTCGACTCAAATAATTCCTTTTACCCGGCACAACAAAGGGATCTCGAACAAGAATGGTACGGCATCCATTTCGTTTACCCGGTATCGGTGGGCAGTTTGACTTGGTCTCATTCTTGGTCGTTTGATTGCAGAACATGCAGGAGTAGCAGGTCAAAGGAGCAAATGATGGGTCGGAAATTGCGGGCGTGAGTGGTGCCAAGGTGGTTTCGGTTGTGGGTCGAGGTGTGGTGTCCCCTTGGGGTCCATTACTCGGATAATCGGGTGATCCTCCCGCTGATATGACTGCTGTTTCGTTGGCTGGATGAGTGTTCCCCTCAGCTGAAGTTGGTGGTTGATTTAAAATATTGGGTTCCACTTCCGAAGATGATTCCTGAGTAGACGTAGGCGACACATCTGAATTCTCGGACGGTGTGTCATCTTTATTAGTTTCCAGAGTTTCCGGTGGAGAAGACGAAACGGTACTTTCTTTTTCTGGCTCCTTTGCACCCGCCTCTGTTTTGTGATCCATTTCCGAATTTGTGCCCACACTGATTTCATCAGGCTGGTTTTTATCCTCTCCTGATTGGGTACCCATTACGGAATCTTTGTCATCGGTTGGCAATTCTGTTGTGTTCATAAAAGTCTGGCTTTCTCCTGGAAGTCCAACACCATTTTCCTTCATTTCCGTTTCCTGATCTTCATTTTTATCCGAGCTTTCGCCTTCGGATCCTCCACTTATGCTGACTTCCTGTATATTATCCTCCTGGGCCCGACTCCATTGAAGTAAAAGGGCTAGGGAAACCCATATAGCTAGCAATCTCAGGCGCATTGTGGTCACTGATCGGTTGAAACTTCGCAGAGCGTATGACTCGGATGGGGAATAAATCTTCCACTGAACCCGCAGAGTAAATGGGCTTATCAGATCGGTATCTCTTGTTATCGGTTTATCCCTGGTCTGAAGAGCTCGTCAAATAGCAATGTTTGTTCCGTTCTGGCCACCGATGAGTTTGTTATTCCCGACCTGTCCCGTGTCTGTTTGGCTGCCAACTGAGGTCGATGGTCATTAAACCGCCTGGACATACGATACGTGTACTTGAATCCGCTGATTGTCACGCAATTATCCGGTCTCTAAATTAAATCGATAGCTCGGGGTGGCCTGAAAACAGTCGAGGAACCCTTGACCCACGCTTATGTTTCGCTCCCGACTTTCCTGCAACAAATGCGAGCCTCTAAATTATTGATGATGTGAACCTTTCGACGGAACCGATGGGACACTCCGATAATGGGGTCAAGGCACAGAGCACATTATGGTTATGACATTTTTGGTCATTATGCATATGCCGGAATTAAATCGCGGTAACCATACAACTGTGGTACGAAAAGGTTCAAAACCAAACGATGAAGAAAAAAAAACATTATTTATGATCTCAAAATTAATATTATTCCATATTGCATTAGTCATTATTTCTACAATGTTATGGGTATGTTATGTTCTGTATGGGTAACCCTTAAGATTAGGTAGATACTTTTATGCAAATATTATTTTAATTATTCACATATGGTATATATGGTAATCTACAAAATTTTCAAAATGCTCTTTTGATCTTCAATTATCAAGTTTGTAATTTGCCTCTTTTATATATGGTCTAGCTTATCCTTATCAGCATTTCAACTATATCAACTCTTTGTTAAATAGTCTGATAAGTCATAAACAGATTATGGATTTCAAATGGCAAACAAAGGTGCAATTTTTAGCTTACATTCTTTATGAGCTGTCAAAATGCTTGGACTAAAGGCACGTCGTCACTGGTTTCTGCACCACCTGCTCCTCGTTCTCCTGATCCTCCTTCTAGCAGGTGAGACACTTGCTATTTCTCTCAGCAATAATGCGTTGCTAACCCTTGAAGGGGTTTTAAATTATAGGCCGTAGTTTTGCCATTGTTTGCTATCACTGCGATTCCATTGCACTGCCTGAATGTTCCCAGACCCTCGGAGAGGTTGGAGTTCTCCCCTACAAGGAATGCCCCACGGAACTGACGTGTGCCATGTCCATTGGTAAGTGCAACTAAATGATATTTTTAAAAGAATCTATTTTGGTACTTCACTGATTTATAATTGACAAAGGCAAATTATTACTTGCAAAAAAGCCTATACCCTTTTTATACTCGTTACTCGTAGAGTAAAAGGGTATGTAACAGGGAGAAGGAAGGGTTTCCGACCCTGTAAAGTATATATATTCTTGATCAGGATCACCAGTCGATATAGCCATGTCCGTCTGTCCGTCCATCCGTATGAACGCTGAGATCTCGGAAACTACAAAAGCTAGAAGGTTAAGATTTCCCACACATATTCTTGGGCTTCGTACGCTGCGCAAGTTTATTTAAGCCGAGCGCCACGCCCCCTCTAACGCCCACAATCGCCCACTAAATTTTAAAATGTGTCTGGCGCACACACCTTTAAAGATTTCCGAGAAGTATAAATGAAATATTGTTGTGTATATTTATACCTATCGAAATGTAGAAGACATTTTTCAAATCGGACCAGTCATTAAAAAGTTATGCGCAATCAAAAAATGTTATATATCCATCTCCCTCGCACTCCCTTTAGCTAAGTGACGGGTATTAGATAGTCAGGACACCAACCGATAGCGTTCTCTCTTGTTCCGTTTAAAAGTTACCAAGCATATCATACATTTTTTCAAAACTCTGCCTTTTTCAGTGGACTCTATCACTTATCGCGGCTGCGGAGCTGAGACCCCCACTACTGGAGCGACTTACTCGAAGAGTTGCTCGTCAAACTTATGCAATGCTGGAGTTTATCCTCCGGGTCGACTCAAATGTCACCACTGCGCTGGACAAGATTGTGTTGCAGCTCCGGGGGCTAAACCAAAACCCTGTCGCTATCATTTGGAAGAGGATCAGTGCTACACGGATGTTCTAAGTTCAACTGAAGCTTACAGGGGCTGTGTCTCCGAGCAGAATCACACGCTGTCCAGTGCGGCCAAGTTGTGTGAGATCAATGGCTGCAATGAGGATCAGGGAGCTTGGACACAGATCTGCGCCACCTGCGATTCTGCAAATGGTAGGGGCTGCAAAATGGATCTCTTTCAGATCAACACCGGTAAATGCAATGTTTCACTGTACGAGGAATGCCAACAAGATGTGCTGTTGGGTGAGCCAGAGGACAAGTACTGCTTCAGTTTCCGGAGATTAAATAGGGTGGTCAGGGGCTGCTCTACAAAAATGCCAACAGATCTGGAACCGTACTTGGAGGATCTGGTAAAGTGTAGAACCAGTGACAACTGCAATGCAGGATGCATTACACAACAGAAGTGCTTAACCTGTAACTCCTTGGATCAGGAACTTTGCAGAACGAATGTAACCGCCATAAGTAACAGCACTTGTGGCTCCGCCGAGGCCTCTTCCTGCTTCACCTGTGAGTACTCCAACTGGAGCATCCAAAGGGGCTGTGGAGCAGCACCCACAAATCCCGAGGTCACCAAGTGCTACGAGTGCGATGAGGAAGGCGGTTGCAATAGGAAGGATTTCACTCGCTGCTACCGATGCAGCACCGATCAGGCGGGAGCAGGATGTGCGAATTGGGAGAGACCAGGCGAAATATTCATCGAGGAATGCGTTGAGCCAGCCACATCGTGTATGGTGGTTTCCTTTCGCAACGGCACCACAGCGAGAGGATGTCAGAAGTCGGATCTCAGCTGTACTTCCGCCAATGTGGCCAATTGCCTGCCTTGCGAGGGGAGCTTCTGCAACAAGGGAGCCTTTCCGGAGAAGCGCCTGTGGTGCCACCAGTGCCAAGGAGTACAGGATTGCGAGGAAATCTCCAGGGGACAAACGGCACTTCCCTGTCCTGTTCAAGCGAATGAACCTGAGGATCAAAAACTGGCTTGCTTGGAGTACTTCGATACCCACAGCAAGCAGATTGTGAGGGGATGTCGTTCCAATCCGGAGCTGTACTACGAATGCCTCTTGAGGAGTAGCCACCATGACAATTGTCGCATTTGCCACAGTCAGGCCTGCAATGATAGTCCCGGAAAGGATCTGAGAGCGGCCTATGAGCTGGAGACCAAGGCAATGGCATTACTGCAGGCCAGAAGTTCCTCAAAGTCCTTAAAGTCTACTATAGTGGTTTACGAAATTGTGTTGCTTCTTAGTGCTATGATGATCCTATAGTTTATAGTTGCCCATGGCTACAAGATCCTTTACAGTCGTCTTATTTTAATGATATCCAAGTGGTTGTTCTCTAGCGTTATTTATCTTGTAACTCGCAGACTATAAATAAAAAAATGATAGCAGAACTTATAGGGATTGCTGTCTATTCCGGGGGCGTATAGCCAGGATTCAAGGCACGACCGCGGTGATTAAAGGAGTAGAACGAAGGAAAGTTGCCCAAGGTGTCCCACGTTTTCTGCTGCATGTCCACGGTTGCTCGGATTTCCTTGAAGTTGCCCACCACTTCGATGATGTTGTATATCACAATCACCAAACTGATGACGGTTTGCAGGATAATCTAAAAGACAACAGGAGCCAAACATTAAATAACCATAGATCTACCATGAAGCTAATGATACTCACATCCAATGGAAGACTTGTCCATTCCTGCTCCGTCAGCCTCAAATAAGTGCGATCTGTAAAGCAAATTGAGCACCTTCATTAGCGGTCCAAAGTTTATTGATCAAAATAAGGGGTAGAAACTCACGGTGGGCAGCCGAAAAAGCAGCATGAGCCAGGCTGGCGAACCCGGCAATCAGCAGAAGCTTATTGAACAATTTACTGCCCATTTTTTTAGTGAACAATTACAAATTACAATCACAGGCTGAACAATTTTCTACAAAATTTCGCTAATTTGCTAAAAGAATGCGGGCACACCTAGCAGTGAACCCAATGGCGATAGTTTAGGGCTGTCAACTTAAGCCGATGTTTTTCAAGAGATTTGAAAACAATAAAAATCTATTAAAAAAATATAAAAGTACAAAATTAAAATCTAATTGAAAGGTCTATAAATCTTAAATTCTTAAATAAGTTGCCTGTTTTTGAAATGTAAATTGTAGCCCATAGAAAAACAGAAACAGACAATTGAAAAGGTCAAATTAGAAAGAAAAACACGTAAAATTAAAGATAATGAGAAATGTCAAACATTTTTAACACTATTTTTATATATAAGTGAATTAAAAATGGAAACCTTTTTTTTATTTTTTAATTATTACCATTGCGATAGTTTTGGTAGATTGTATTTTAATCACTTTTGGTATTTTTTTCACTTTACGGTCACATACAAAAGGCCGCCGCGCTCGCAGGTATATTTGAACGATTCGAGTAACGGTCCCTTTATTCGTCTCTCAACACTCGGAAGATTCGGAAGTCGCGGCATTTAAAGCGGAGAACCAGAGTCCAATAAGACAGACAACTTGCAACAAAAATACCCGGCATTTTGAAACGCGTTTATCAACTGGTTTTTCAAAGCTAAAAAGGACTCAAGGCCACGCCCCCGCCAAAAAGTTTACGTGTAACAGTGTGTGTTTTCCTGGCGCATCGCTCTATTTGTGTGTGTATCCCGACGTCTCTTTTGCAGTCCTTTTGCGTGGGTGTGCCAAAAAGGAGAAGAGGGAGAGAAAGAGAACAGTGAAATTCCAGCACATCAAAGCGAGTCAATAAAGGCCGAAAACATGTCCGTTTCCTCGAACGCCTCGTCCGCCTCCAACAAGGACAGCGTGGACAGCCCCAGCAGCACCACCAACACGGACAGCTCCGAGCTGACGCACATCCTCAACCGGCGGCAGGAGATCATGGACTCCCAGGAGGCGGGCATCGAGGTCCGCCGCACCTACAAGGTGGTCAACGTCTACACCGACTTCCCCGAGTTCTCGCGGAACCAGATCAAGGACTACCAGAAGACCTTCAATACGTAAGTCAAGGCCGCAGTTTCTGATTATCTTATCTGTGCTGTATTAAGTATTTCTACAAAAAAGTAGAATAAAGTTTGCTAAAAATATTTAAAATAATAAAAAAATAATGATAATTAAAAATTTAATTAAAAACAAAATTTGTTGACGATTTTAAAATTTTTAAAAATTAAATTAAATAATTTATGAATCAATTGGATTTTAGTACTTAAAGTTTTTTATCTGGGTTTCAGCAATATCACAAACACCAACTGCTTTTCTAAAGCTGTTTAGGGCCTCTTTAAATTTTAAAACAAATACAGCCTTTAAAAGCTGAAGAAACTGTAATTCCTGTAATTTAATAAAAAGCCGTTTGAAATGTTTTAAAGTTTTACCATAGAGATTTACTAAAACATCTTCCCTTAATTTAAATAATATTTATTTGTGAAATTGCAGTAACGGTTGTCGATCTGCCTAAGGTCGACTGAACTAACCTTCGGACTCCTTTCACCTGCAACTAAGACTTTCCCAGGCATCTCACCGCATTCGCGTCTCATTAGTTGGCAACATAAAACTCATGCGCCTAATGGGCATTAAAATTGCATTTACTGCAGCCCCTCCTTGGAGCACCACCCATTCACCCTGCTCCCCTGTGCAATGGGGCATGACTCACAAGTACTTGGGGAGCAATGTTGTCACAGTCACTGGCTTATTCCCAAGTCGGTGCTCCCGCCGCGCGGATCATGAGTCAAAAGTGGTTTTCTGCCCCAACACTTTCAGGCGGATTCAATTATTACACTACAGTCGAGCTCCCCTTGGTCGGATTTCCTGAAGACCGATAAATAGTAAATAAAAATATTTACATTTTAGATCACATTAGGAATATTCAGAAACTGTCTAACAAAAAATAATGGTTTTTATTTAAGCTTTTAAAAATTTTAAGGGTAAAAACTATTATGTTTCTCGATGATCACCTGTATCTATGCCGTACTTGTTTACGGTTTTGCATTACCATCCGACAACGTCAGCTGTCGACTGACTGACACCTTGCAAACGAAATGTTTTCCGAGGTTTTCCCTTGCCCAGTTTCCTAGTCTTGTGGTGGATCGTTTTAGTGATAGCCCGTCTCGGGTTTCGCTCAATCAACCGCAGCAGTGTTGCGCAATGGGTTTGTTTGTTAGATTAAATCTCTAGAATAGTTATTTAAATTCAAGTAGTTGGCACGTAGGGCCGTCTAGGCTGATAAGCTATCTCAGGTTCATTGGTATTATCTCTTTTTCAAGCAGATTGCCTGAAATTCGCCAAGCACCTGCCGCTTTTTCTTGCTGATTTAGCTCTCCACTCACCTGAGGTGTAAATGAATCACCTAGCAATTAAGGAAGAATGCCAATTAGCATTCGTTAAACTGATTTAGAACTGGGCAGCCAATTGGACAATTACTCCCTTTGACATCAGATTCTATGGCATCTTAATAGCTTTGTATTATATTCCTCCCCTAAAATCAGTTTCTCTGCATTTGGGTCAAAGCCTCGGGATCTGGCAAATTGTCAAAAAGAAAAGAGCCTGCATTATGATGGCAAGGCGAACGTGTTCTGCAATTGTAATGTAATGCACCAGCAGCAGAAAGAGACGCTAAAATGGAGAAAAACACAACTCCAGGCAGTCTGGGAAATACTGGGTGCATGTGCCGCAAATGGCAGACAGACAAGAGACTTTTGGTCTGCGATTAGCTAATGTTGTGGGCATTCATATATGGGTAATAAGATTGGATATGGACAGAGCAAATGTTGGCTTTGATTATCCAATTGTCTATTTTTGGTCCCATAAGTAAAGGAAGTCGGCCAAAAATAATCTTTCAATTAATATAATTTTAATATTTCCCAAGTTTTATGAACGACATAAAGACAAAAGATAACTTGGCAATTTCACAACCACAAGATAAAAGTTCTGCAAATCACAAAAAATGCGCAAACATGTTTTTGTACATTAAATTCTTGTCTCAGCGAACATGACTACATCACAAAAGACATAAGCACATTTTTTGTGAGGATTCACTGCTAGATTTACTCACGTACTTTATTGAATTATCTTCCTAGACTTTAGTACATTTTTCCACACGGGCAAATGTCAGATGGCTCGATCTTCTTGGCTCAGTTTGCGGTTGGAACTTTTAAATAATAATAACAAAACGAAAAACCGGCTAAAGTAGCGCCTTTGTGCCGCGCCATTTGGCATTTCCAGTCACGTTGGGTCGACCGGCGACTTAAAGTGATGTGCTAAGCTGGCAAATTTAAAGCGCGCTGAAACCTGAAAGGTTTTAATTAAAACATGCGATATACATATTCGAGAATCGAAAGCAAAACGCCGCCTGAGTCACGCATTGAATTCGTTTTACAAAGCAATTTGTATAAACAATTCGCAACTGATTCAGCAGAGCGAGCGCGTTTTTTCTGCGAACTTGCTTTCCGATAATCAAATAAATGCAAATATAAACATACTCGTCCCAAGACGTCACAATTTTGGAGCGAGGCAGTGTTCCTCTCGAGCTTCCCAAACGATAAGGTCCAGCAAATAAACTGCCTAAAACCCCAGTGAATTAAAGCGTAATTTTACAGGCGTAGTTTCATTCCACGCCTAACCTTATCACTGCTCACGCAATGTATACAGCTATTTTATAGCGTCTTGGGCCTCGCTTTAGTTTCCTGATTGTTTTCCCCCTTTGTAGTACCCCATTTTCCGCACGGATGTCTGCTGAATTTCAGAGATATATAGCGGGACTAACTTCCGGGAGGCGATAAACTGCAGAATTATATCGATTATGCATTTTATGGCGCCTTAAGTCCGTCATATTTCAGTATCATGGGGGAGTTCTTTCGTTTGAGTAGATGTGCACAAGTTACATAGCCTTTTTGAGGAGTTGATAAGCAGAAATCCCTTGGCAAACCAACCACCAACGTTCTTGAATCCACTTACGCATGGTACTCATTGTAGCTATGTACATTCAATTCAATTCTGTTCTTTATTAAATACAGTGATTACTCATTAAACAAAAATTTAATTGCGCACAATTTGCTTTAGTAAACACAGTGATTACTCATGTAAATCAAACTTTGATCTTCCCAGAAGTATTAGTCAGTTTGGACGTGTAAAAATTCTGTAATAAAAAAAAAAACAGTTTTTTACAATTGAATTCACATGTTAGTCTTCGTTTGTAAACTTTTTTATCACATTATTAATTAAAGATAAGTAAATAAATATGTTTTCAATTAGAGAAGTCCCTGGAACATGTGTATTTCTATAATACACCCACAAAACTTGCCAAATTGGCTGAATTAGGAATTTCAAAAAGATGGCAAATAGAAAAAGCTTACAATTAAGGAATGACCACTGTGGGCGCAGAGCTTCTGATGTTGCGTTAGGGGTGCTATCGATGCCAATGCTACTGGTATCATGGGCTGTCGTCGCCCTGGTTACAGTTTACAATTCGAGTTCATGGACAAAAAAGCAACGTACTCGTACGCACTTTACAATGGGGGAGGAATCCGTTTCTGTGTGGGCTTTTATTGCGGCCACAGTGGCGAGGAGAACCTTTAATTAAGTTGCCATTGCCACCACCACCCATTATCACTCGGGCATAACCCCTTAACATAACCCCCCTTGGCACTTATGCGAATAATATATTCCAGGGGTTGCTTTCCAGGACTATTTCGTGTACACATGTGAGTTCTTAAAGTGCATTGCACAAATGAACATTTGCATTCGCCGTCGTTTGGCCAGGTTCATTGACACTAATTTTGTTATTCACAAAATGTTGTTTGCATGCCGGCTCTTGTGGGTTCGGTAATCACTACCGATGGAAAGCGGGTTTTCTGGCAATCGATAGCGATGCATTATCGTACGCCCCGCTCATTTCCGGCTGCAGCCTCCACTTGTAATTATTTCCGCGCACATGTGCACGACCTTTTTGCATTTGGCCAAAAATCGCGACTCGCGAAGCACAGATGTAAAATTGCATTCAGCAGGCGACGGCCAGTCTGGCATGTCCGCAAAAAGCGTCAGAGAAAAAAAAGTAAAATGACGTACAGTAAACTAGCTGACAAAGGAAAGCCATTGACAGGATGACAGTGGAACCCCCGCCTCGTGTCCATCGACGCTTCATTGTGCGCTTTGTGATTACGTTTTACGCGCTCTGCGGTTGCGGGATGACAAGCACATGTATGGACAAAACCTTAGCAAAGAAATTAAAAAAAATTAATTTTCTGAGGGTGATTATCCAGTATTTATTAGAAATATCTAAAAATTTAAAACAAATGATTAGCGAACTTTATTACAATGTTATCAAACATTTGACATATTTTAAGTGTGTTATTGTGAAAAAATATTTGAGAAAGTTTTTCTAGCGCTATAAATCATATCAATTTTCCAGCCAATCCAATAACTCACTTCAATCTATCAAGCAGACATAAATATTATTCCATTAAATATTATATGTCTGACTAACTATCTCTCTAGCATGCTTATGACATTTGCATTGCAGTGCTATTAGTTTGACCACAATTGTGTAAACATTCATACATAAAAGTATTACATATATGCTACTGCTTTAGTGTCGAGTGTTGTCCACTCAATTGAGGAAATATCAAATTATGTACGAGCACAGTGGCGCATCATCGTCACTCATCCATCCATTGTGTCCCCAACTTGCTGCAATTAGTCACCGCATTTGCTCATTGTCCATTTTATTTGTTTGATTTACTTCAGAGGCGATAAGAAATGCTCGAAATGGCTGCCTTTTCTTGTTTCCTGCAGCAACTAAAAATAATCAGAGATGCGACCCACGCAACGCATCTTTTCCCGCTTCCCATCGCCTCGGATTGCTCCAATTTCGAAATGTCAAAATATGGCGCGTTTATTTTGGGAATCCCATACACATTTCCTGAGCCATTGGGAAAGGATGGGAAAGACCCCCATTAGAAGTTAGAGTCTTCGGCAAAAAATAGTACAAGTACAGCATAATCATTTTGTAAACATTTACAATGTACTTATAAGTTGAGAAACGTTGAGTATTTAGTTTGTTACACTAATACATAATTGCTTTGTAATAAAAGTAAGAAAAGAAAGAGTTTCCTAACTATTTTTCTTATTATCCCATTTATTTATATTATTTATTTTTAGTTATTAAAATTTTTAGCTATTACATGGATAAATGAAAAGTGTTTAACCACAGTTTAATAGCAGATATTTAAAATATAAATGTACTTACAATTACATGTATAAAATATTAGGCTAAAAACAAAATATTAAGAAAAAACAATTTTTATGAGGATTCTAAGTTATTACTCTACTATCGAGTGGCTTATTTATAGAACCAATTAGCCCTATACCGTCCGTTAAATGCAAGTTCCCCGCCCACCAGTCATTTCATTTATTTATTGATTTACAATTTTACATACCTGTGTTTGCGCAGGCAATGTGCACAGGTGCATGCTTGGTTTCGAAACAGAAAACATTCAGGTGAGTGAGACGATCCAGACGAACCAGCCAACATCGGTCGAAATAAACAAGCGATTGTGTATGCAAGACATCGCCTTTGAACATTTTTCGTTTCGATTCGGCCACAATAGATGAGAGCGACAAGGCCCCCAGTGTGGGTACTCTGTAGTACATCACATCGCTATAATGATGAAACCCGCCCTATGAAGACATGCGGTGCATTTTAAGCGTCTGCAACAGTCTGTTAACCGTTACCATAAAGTTCAGGAACTTGACGCGTTTCTAACTGCAAAAGCGCTAGAGTAGAATCGAAATCGGACTCCCTTTGGCATTAACCCGCTTGAACATCGGGGCCACAAAAACTCCATTCACAGTAGAAGCTGCAATTGCGCGGCATTAGGCTACTAATAGAGAAAACCTGTGTTCAATATAGTAATTGCAGCTTGCAGGTCTCAGAAGCAGAAGCAGCAGCTACCTACAATAAAAGCTAAGCAACTAGCACTACTAGTATTTATTATAGTAACAAATCTACAATACGATGAAAAATATTGCAACTGAAAATAATGTTAGGATCACAAAGACAGAAAATATTTTTATTTATTTATTTATATTCTGGTTCTGAAGCAATTTCAAATGGCCTGCAACCAAAAGCCAGAAAATAAAAATAATGTATAATAGAAGATGTTATAAATATTATAATTTTAAACTAAGTAAAATTGATTGTTATCAGAATAATTATAGAGCACAGAGTATCTAACTAAACATATTTCAAATACAAATAGTCAGTGCTATTTTTTTAACCGCAGCTGTTTACAAAGTACTAAGCCAAGTACATGCATAGATAAATTTACGATGCAAATTGCGGCAGGCATAAACGGCAACACCAATAACAATGGCCAGCTGACCCCGTTATTTGTTGAACTGTACGCGAAAAAACGATAAAGAAAATGAAAATCGCTTGCATATATAGCATATAGCATACGGCCCTGCCACAACAACAAAAACATCGGCCACATGCAATGGGGCAGAAAGATGTACGACACCCCCGAAAACCTCGGAGTGTGAAGTTGTTCGATTCATTGGAATGAAAACAATCAATAAAAATTAGGCTAAATCCGGTGGGGGTTCGATGTTAGGGCAGGAACGGGATGTGTTGCCAAAGTTAAACAGCAGGTGTTTGGAGTATATACTCCACACGTTTTAAAATTGAACATAAACAAAATAAAGGGATTTTTTTAATGGCAGGTGCTCTAGAATAATTTGTTTTATCTAGAGTTCAGAATATTTATTTCATATAATTTATTTATTGTAAAAATTAAATGAACAAATCAATTGATCAACAAAAAACTTTTCTTAAGTGCTTAGTTATAAAAAGTTTGATATCAAAAGTTCTGTAGATAATCGTTTAATTTCATTTAAACAAGAATTACGTTTGCATCTCTAAAGCAGCATTCCAGTTTGATGCAATACCACCCACATGGATACCTCCTGTGGTAGCTAAATTGATTCAGAAATGATTTAATAAACACCTTAAATTGAATCGAACAGCTGGAGTCTCTATTGTGAGAGATCACCGGCAATTGAAACGAAAGCCAGACAACAACACCTCGATTTATTATTCGAAAGAAAACAACGAGAAACCGGCAGGGGAAAAGCAAAAGTGCCAGCAATTGTCACATTGACGCAACTCGAGGCTGAAGAAAAGAGTGCAATTGGAGTTAATTAAAGAGGCGATAGCGTAACACTGGCCACCGTTAATTGCCCATCTCGGATGGTGGCCAAAATGCGATGTTGTGATGGTGGTGACACCTAGCCATCAACGCCAGACACGCCTGAGATGATACCATTTTCATTGCATCTCGGCTAATTACTTTCACTCTTTTTTTCTCCTTTCCCCCCCACAAAAAAAAACACGCAATTTGTCGATACGGATTCAATTATTTATGAAACGAAAGCGAAACTTCAATTGCTCGGCGGTTGTAATCTAATAGATACTATTTCGTCATTAGGTGGCGGCTTCTAGGCGAGCGAGAAATCGAAACTGAAAGTTGCGACTATTGGGTAACGACGAGGTGTATGTATCCATCCGTTCGCGGGTAATAAGTATTTATTGTCATACGAGTGAGGCTGTGAAGTTGCTGCTTCCTTGGCTGCGTATTTTTAGCTAGATAGAGCCCCAACTAACTAGTTTAACTAGTTTGGATGATGATCATCATCGGCTCAGCATCGGTATCCTTCGCCTAACTCGCAAGGTCGCTGGTTTCTGAGCCTGTGCAACTTGTTTCCGCCACATGGTCGCCGATTGATGATGTTGCTCATGTTGCTCATCTGCCGCCCGCAGCAACACGCGATTTATCCAGACGACAGCGCGTGCTTCTTGCGTTTTCTCTTTTAATATATTACACAATTAGATAGTAAATGGGCTTTATTTACATTTCCATCGCGATTTCCTGCCCACACTTTGGCGGAAGTTTGAACTCTTGACTCGCCGATTTCGGTCGTCGAACTGGAGATAGATAAACGGGAATCGTGAGGGAAATTCTCTTAACATAATATTTTCAATAGTGAATGGGAGTGGCAGCAGTAAACAACAGTTTATTTGGCCTTCTTAATACAATACTTTTAAAATATACTTTATAAGGAAGCAATTATTTACAAAAAGATTGAGAAGAAAAATTGGGGAAAAATTGGTTTCAATTTAAAATATTAACAAAAATAGAGAGGAACAATAGGAAATTTTTAAAAACTTAATGACATCTAAACGTATTAGCATATGAAATAAAATTTTTTTATTATTTATAGATACTTTTGATTTTGATATGTTACGTTAGTGATTTTCATTATATTATCTTTTATCCGTAAAATTTATGGGTCGTCACCTGGATGCTATTGTTTCGCCCTGGGCTGTTGTTGGCAAATTTAGCATGAAATTGGGTTGCTTGCCAACCATAATCCTCTGCCTCCCACAATTTTCGCAGACATCGGGCCACGCGACCTCTGACGCCAGTGCAGCCACGTTTGCATTATCGATTGCTAATCCCCGACATTGGGAGTCTCGTGTGTCGCGGTTGGTCAATGACCAGTGACATTTCTCCTTTCTCAAATTCTCTGAATGCTGACTAATTGATTTGCATGTTTTATCTTTCGCTTTTCCAGATACGATACGGCTCGCGATGGCTTCTTGGATCTGCAAGAGCTCAAGTTCATGATGGAGAAGCTGGGTGCACCGCAGACCCATCTGGGACTCAAGCAGATGATTGCCGAGGTGGACGAGGACAACGATGGCAAGATCTCCTTCCGGGAGTTCCTGCTGATCTTCAGGAAGGCCCAAGCCGGAGAACTGGACTCTGAGTCGGGGCTGAATCAGCTGGCCCGCCTCACCGAGGTCGATGTGGAGCAGGTGGGCGTGAGCGGAGCCAAGAATTTCTTCGAGGCGAAAATCGAGCAGCAGCTGCGGACGAACAAGTTCCACGATGAGATCCGGGCAGAGCAGGAGGAGCGCCGGCGCGAGGAGGAGGAGCGAGCCCAGCGACGCCAGCAGTTCCAGCAGCGGGCAGCGATCTTCCAGTAGAGGATCCATGCACTCCCACGTAGTCTAGCGCGTAATTATCTGGCGTAGGTTAATCGAATGTGGAACTAATCCCGGGAGAAGAGGATACGCTTCGTACAAGCAGCAGGCATTTTTCAAGCATCACATACAGTAATATTATCCATACTAATCAATCGTCCCGAATATAATCTCGATTTGCTGGATGAAACATCTTAGGAATTGAATGTTATTTCTTCTATGTATTAATTTTGAAACTACCTTGAGGAATACCGAAATGTAACGTTCAATTTCTAATATCTATTTTTTTAAATCCATCTAAATTGAGCCATCTAGCCCTCACATAAGAATACATACGTACATAAATAACGATCATACCAAAAGCGTATTTATAGTTAACCCTTAGTTAAGTGAAACATGTTTTAGCTTAAGACCTATTTTATTGTTCGGTGTTGCGCAAAATTTATTTGTTGATTTACGTTTTCCTTGACGGTTGTCTAAAATGTATGCTTCTTTTACTTTACGATATTTACTTGTAGTGCCATTATTATTTTCTTCGTTTTCATTTTTTTTGTTAAAAAAACTCGATAGTTATGTTAAGCTAATCAATTTGTAAAATTCAACCTTCTTTGTACATACTAAATCTGCGTTGGCATTCAATCTTAGTTTCAGTCGTAACAAGTTGGAATCTGTGGAATATTCAATTAAGTTTCGATTTCAGTATTTCACGTTTAAAGTTAGCAATTAAAGCAATACTAATGCGTTAAATACGAATACACAAGAAAATACACGTACTTTTAGAGAGCGTTTAATACAAACTTATACTGCAATTTAAATAAATAAATGTATATAATACGAAACGATTTTCATTGTTTTTATTTTAGGAGAGCGTCTTACATTGTAAACATTAAAGCTTTTACTTCATTTGTTGAGTCCTTTAAATTGTGAAACCTTGTTCCTGATCACTCATGCGATATTTCAATGTGTTGATACATGGTGACTTCATCACCAGTGCCCAAGGCTAGCAGCAATTTCCTTCCCGCTGCGACCATTTCATTGCCTTGGGGGTTATAGTGCGAGACCACCCACTAAGTGCCACATGGAGTGACTTCATGCTTCGTGCTGATACAAAAATCCAGAGCCAAGAATTCGATGGGGTGTCCGGAGTCCACGTGTTAATAGAGGATCTATATTGATAAATTTAAGTAGTTTAAATTAAATTACAACAAGAGAGAACGCTATAGTCGGGTTGGTGTCCCGACTATCTAATACCCGACACTCGGCTAAAGGGAGTGCGAGGGAGATGGATATATAACCTTTTTTGATTGCGTATAACTTTTTAATGAATGGTCCGACTTGAAAAATGTCTTCTACATTTCGATAGGTATAAATATACACAAGAAAATTGCATTTATACTTCTCTGAAATTTTCAAAGGTTTACATTCTTTTGCACAAATACAATATACCCTACTTTACGGGTATAAAAATCGATCTTACCCCACATGTCGTAAGTGTTCTACCAGGGAGGCTATATCTTTTCCATTTATCAGTCATCTCCTGGGCTTCCGTTACTCCCCGGCAGCTGGCCCTTTGCGAAGGGAATGTCTGCACCTCAACATATCACATTTCAGGGCATAGCGATGCTGGCAGACGGGACACTCGTGCGGCTTGAGCTGCAGGTGGTAGCCCTTAATGTGTTGCGACAGTCCGTTGCGCCGCTTGAAAACCCGGTCACAAATGCCACACTTGTGCTGCCGTTCCGTCGAGTGGGTAATATTATGCTGGCGGAGTCCGTTTAGCGATCCAAATGTCTTTTTACAAATATTGCACACATAAATCCGGGCGGAGGCAACTTTCTTTTTTGAATTCATTGGTATCTGGACCTTAATTTTGGATTTTCGTAGTCTGCAATTGAGTTCGTGACGGCGGTACAGGCGCCAGTGGGCAAAGGCGATCGCTTGGCAGTGGCGGCACTTGAAGCTCTGAAGGCGTCGATGGTTTTTGAGCGACAACGATTGACAAATGTACCGCATGTGCTGTCGAAGTCCCAGGCGGGATCGAAAGAACTTTGAACAGCCACCACAGCGAGCGGAAAAGCTTGGTATTAGCTTGACAAAGTGCGCTTTTAAGCGACGATGGTGGTGTAACTTCCTAAGACTGGAAAATCCCCTCTTGCACATCCGGCATATATAAGTTTTCCGACGTCTCTTCCTAGGATTTTTCATATTCTTACATTTCAGCTGCAATTTGCGATATCTAACTGCTAGTTTAGCATAGTTAGCGGTCACGGCGACCAGTTGAGGATCAGGAGGAGGTGCTGTGAGTTGAGTTGCCGTGGGTATGAGATCTTTGTGATGCAGGAAACTGCTCTGCATGTCCAGTATATCAATCTTCTTCCTGGGTTGCGTTGATATCGGACTATTCTGCCACTCTGACTGCCAGTAATCCAATTGCTCAGTTGCCACAAATCCCCGGTTGCTCTCCAGTTTCATGGGGGGATTCATAGTCAAGCTGGGCAGGTTGATATTCATCGGGGGAACGCTGACCATGGGCGTGGTATTGCTGTGACTATGGGTATAATGCTGATTCAAGCTATCTATTGTTATAAATTTAGCAGTGCACAAGGTGCAGTTGTGCAGCCGGAAGGCCGCTGAGGATTCGACTACGCTGTCGTTTAGCACTACGATGTTGGGTTTGATGGAAGTTGGAGGGGCGGCAGGTGGGGGTGGTGGCAGCAGCTCGCAGATCAAAGGATTGGGTATTTGGCTTACATTGGTCACAATGGGTTTGCAGGAGCGAGCTTCGGGATCATTAATCAGAGGTGGATCCACAGGTGGCTGAGCCGTGTCCTCCACCTTCTCCGTTTTGTACTGATGCGGCGGCAGTTGCCACTCCTCCTTGGCATAATTATGCTCCTCGGTCAACAGTTCCGTTTGCAGCATCTCATTAGCCGACCTCCCAGGCTGTGTTCTCTCCGACTGTCCCACATCCGCATCGTCCGGAATATTAATAAACGGATCATCCAGATTGATTATCTCCATGATATCACAATTGTTGATAATGTCCTGCGAGTTTAGCATGGGAAAATCGCAGAATTGGAACTTTTGCTCTGTTTCCTCCTGATCGCAGCCCTCGTCCTGCTCCAGGCCCATGTCCAGTTCGTCGGGAAACAGATTGTCCAGGCTCTCGCAGGCCTCCTGCTTCACACGGACAAAGGGTTCCTGCTTGATCTTCAGCTGGCGGCGGTATTTCCTTTGCAGCTCACTCTGCGCCAGCATCACCACATCGATGAACTGGGAAAAGCGCTCCAGTTGCAGGCAGCACTCCTTGCATATATCCTTGGGCAGGGTGTCGTCCTGCAGGATCTGAAGGGTGGGAAAGCACTTCTGGATCATGCCGAAGAGTTCGAAACTCTTGTCGAACGAAGAGCAGTTGGTGGCAGAGGAGCCACAGAAGCGGCAGGTGGCCTTAACACCTGTGGCCGGCGACTCGGCGGCACTGGCCAGGGTTTGTTTGTGGTTGGGCCTGCTAGTGGGGGACACCTGTTCCACGTGGAAGCTCGGGGAATCTCCTCCTGAAACTCTAACCGAGGGCACAGCATTCTTTTTCAGTGTTTTCCTGTTATTGCTGCAATTGAAGTCCTCGTCAACAAAGTGCCGACTGCACACCGCGCTCCACTTGGATGGCATCCACTGACCACTCCGCAGCGTGAAGTCCTTCCACTTCTGGAGGAGATCTTTCCGCTTAAAGGGAAACCTGCAAGGGAAACGAAGGGTAAACGCTTGTTGGAAATGGTTTTCCTACTCACCTGTGGAAGGAAATGCTGCCGGCGTGCACATATTTATGGCTGCAGTTTACCACAGCGCAGTGGGCTGGCATTTTTTTTTTGTCCAATTAATTATTGTTTTATTGTCCAATTAATTAAAGGAATTTGTCGAATTGGGTCTATTTACTTCGAAAAACCAGCTGTTGTTCGCTAGTCAGCTGTTTTTGTTTTTGAAAACAGCTGATAACAGCTGTACTATGTCGTCTATCGATGATTATCGGCGGAGGTGGGTACGAATCACCCTGTGGGCCTGCTTGATTCGAGCTTTTTGGCGGAAAATGGAACTGATTTGAATTAAAAGAAAATTACAAGACAAAAGGATGGCCCATAAGAAACTATTGTTTATTTCAAGGTAGAGCAAACTTTAATTATGATTCGTCGTCAAAGAGGTTTATTTTACATGAGAAGAAAACTAATTTTTAATTAAAACTCACAAATAAACTAATTAGTTATAAAAGTTATAGATTATAGTTGTCCGATCAGGCTGGATCTTACTTATATGGTTATCAAAAATACGTGTACTATAAAGAAAAGTCTCCTTCACTGCGTTGCTTCTGAATAAGTTGATAAACTCTGCAAGGCTAATAGTAATGGTTCAATAATAAAAGATGTAATTTTAAGTAGAATAATAATAATTAAATAAAGTGAACTTAATTCTTACTACTTATTTAAAAATAAATATTTTAAAAAATGCAATTAACGGTTACTTTTAGTGTGGATGAATAGCAAATTTGCAAAACTACCGGCTGGCCACATTAGGTCTTATCAAAAAATGGAACAGCTGACGCGCACCTCCCACCCCCAACCCCCCTTTCACCATTAATCCGTCACACTTATCAATTAGCGCGTTTATGACAACCCCCTGGCCCCAAAAACCCGCCAGATGCTCGGCCCGTGAGTATATTTATTTTCTCTCGCCACACGGAAAACTTCCACGGGTTTCAGTCTGTCGATTCGCTCGGAGGCGGTCTGTACGCACAATTGGGCGAAGGAAAAGGCAAGGTCAAGCAAGGTCTTTTTATTCGACTGGCGAAAAATCCAAATTCTACGTGTGTGCGCGGGTGGTGAAAGGAGAAAGCTAGAGAAATGGCACAGGTGCGATTGCTGGTACAGGGAGCTCGGAGGGGACTGCTCAATGTGGGCGCAGTCACGCCCCACGAATCCACCGCCGCCCATAAAAGATTTCAGCACAGCACGTCGAACTCTGGGTAAGTCTCTTGAGATTCCGATAAGATTCTCTCACATTCGGGGGTGTTCTGGTTTTCAGATAATTTTCACTGTTTGGAGATTTTCATCTCATGTGAACGGTTTTCATTCGGAGAATTCTTTTACTCTTCTTCTTCTTAAAACTACACAGTAACAAATTATAATAGAACAATATAAGCAAATTAGGATATCATTTAAATGCTCAATTAACATTTGTGCAAAACTAAAGTAAATTAATTAATAAAATCGGAAGATATGTAAAATTTACTTAGTACTTAAAAAAAGTACTAATTCAGATATTTTTCACTGTTTGGAGATTTTCATCTTATGTGAGCAGTTTTCATTCAGAAGATTCAGAATAGAACAATATAAGCAAAATAGGATATCTATTTAAAAACTAAAATAAATTAATTAATAAAACCCCAAAGAATTATTCATTATCTCAAGGAAGATATGGGTTTATAAAATGTAGGATTTACTGAGTGTTAAAAAAAGGTTCTACCGAAATAATAGAGTATCATGGCTCTGATATGGAACTTAACCGTTTATAATCTGATAATTATTGTTCTATTTCTTCATTCTCTCCCATAGAGATTACGACCTGGTTGTGGTTGGCGGTGGTATCGTGGGAGCTGCCTCTGCCCGTGAGATTCTACTGCGCCATCCATCCCTGAAAATTGCAGTCTTGGAGAAGGAGAGCCAGCTGGCGAAGCACCAGAGCGGCCACAATTCCGGAGTGATCCATGCGGGCATCTACTATAAGCCCGGAACCCTGAAAGCCCGCCTTTGTGTGGAGGGCATGCACTTGGCCTACGCCTATCTAGATGAACACAAGATCCCGTACAAGAAGACCGGCAAACTAATTGTGGCCACGGATGAGAAGGAGGTGAAGCTGCTGGGGGATCTGGAGAAGCGTGGCATTGCCAACAATGTGCCGGATCTACGGATGATCAAGGGTGATGAGATCCAGGAGATCGAACCCTTCTGCAAGGGACTGAAGGCTTTGCATAGTCCGCACACTGGAATCGTTGACTGGGGATTGGTTACTCAGCACTATGGCCAGGATTTCACTCGATCCGGGGGCGATATCTACCTGGATTTCAATGTCAGCAAGTTCAGCGAGACCAAAGAGGGCACCGACTATCCAGTGACCATCCATGGCGCCAAGCCTGGTCAAACGGTTCGCACCAAGAATGTCCTGACCTGCGGTGGCCTGCAATCCGACTTGCTGGCGGAGAAGACAGGATGTCCCAGGGATCCCCGGATTGTGCCCTTCCGTGGAGAGTACTTGTTGCTGGCCAAGGAGAAGCAGCATATGGTCAAGGGCAATATTTATCCGGTGCCCGATCCCCGTTTCCCTTTTCTGGGAGTTCACTTCACGCCGCGCATGGACGGATCCATCTGGCTGGGACCAAATGCAGTGCTGGCTCTTAAGAGGGAAGGTTACACGTAAGTCTTTATCTTGGAATTGCCATTAAGACTCTAATGATAACATTTCTCCACTCCCCAGCTGGGGTGACATCAATCTCTTCGAGCTGTTCGACGCCCTGCGCTATCCAGGATTTGCCAAAATGGCCAGCAAATACATCGGCTTTGGGCTGAGTGAGATGTCCAAGTCGTGGTTCATTAACCTGCAAATCAAGGCGTTGCAAAAGTACATCCCGGACATCACCGAGTACGACATCCAGCGCGGTCCGGCGGGAGTGCGTGCCCAGGCGATGGATCTGCAGGGCAACCTGGTGGACGACTTCGTCTTCGATCGCGGCGAAGGATCGGGTGCGCTGGCCAAGCGGGTTCTCCACTGCAGAAACGCTCCATCGCCGGGGGCAACCAGCAGTCTGGCCATCGCCAAGATGATTGCCGACAAGATTGAGACTGAGTTCTCCATCGGCAAGTGATAGGCCATAAATCCGAAACTACTGACCATCTATCATCGTCCCAAATTCTGCCTTTATAGTGTCAGTAGCAAACTAATCTGTCTATTTCGCATTTCGTCTTGTAAATTATAATGTTAAACTATTTTGTATACAATAGAATTACAAATTCTTAAACGATTTTCACGATTTATAGGCTAATATTTAATTCAGTTCGAGAATATGACGGTTTTTTCTTTGAGAAGAAACATCGTCCTTGATGCCCAGCACCTTTATCTGTTTTTGTAACGAATTCTCCTCTAAGCTACATTGAATTAGCATTTTGCACTTCTCGTTTAATATTTTCAGGCCATTAGCTGCATGCTGACGCATTTGCGCATCACAAGACTCCTCTGATTCGATGGCTTTTAGCAGTCGATAAATGGGTAGAAGCATTTCCTGGTAGTCCAGTAGATTCTCCATGCCGTTTAACAGTTCAGCCAAAACCAAGACAGCTGCCCGCTTAGTAGGCACAAAGCCGCCGTTGTTTAATTCGCTATTAACCAGTTGGAGAAGCTCGTGGAAAAAGTTCTGCACCTGATAGGCCAACAGACGACAAAGCTGGGCGAGATTGGCAAACGCTGACATTCTGAAATCGTGAACCGGAGATCGTGAGCCGTGCATAAAGCAATTGAGCAGAACAGCCTTGTATCTATAGCAAAGTGGGCCTGAAAGAGTAGTTAAATAAGTCTAGATTTGTATTTTAATCAGGGACCGTAATCATTATAAGTAAAATAATAAAAATCTTTATTTAATGGGTGTTAGTAGTGTATTGGTCCACCGAGCTGTAAGCACGATTTCAATTCCCACAGAAAGTGTTTTTTTATACAAATTTTTTTTTTGTTGTTTTTTAGGCGGTTTATGCAAAAAAATTTATTTTTTTCTTAACTGAATATGTGCTCCGTGGTTCTACATACAAGAGCACATTTAAATCTTTGTAAAATTCCGCGTAGGACGGCTGCAATCTAACTTTGAGTGATATTTCTAAGCAAAATAATATCGCTCACAAAATAATCATTATTTCTGAGCGATATTTTTTTTCGCTTACAAAATAATCATTAAATGGAGTACTCACCTAACTCCTGAGCGACTTTCAGGATAGCTTCGCCCACAACCAATCGGTAATCCAACTCAGCCGTCTCCGATAAGTACTCGTCACTCAGCTTGTCCAGCACTTCGGACTCCATCACATGAACCAACGACACAAAGAGCCGAACACAATTGAGGAATGTGTACGATTCCTTGTTCTTAAGAGTGGTCAGAGCTAAAGCTAAAATGAGATGACCCTGCGACATGGTAGCGGGATCTCTTTTCTTGAGCAAATCCATTATCATCTGAATGCCGTACACCTGCAAATGGGACTGCTTTTCCTCTATCAAAGAGCGAGCTTTGTGAAATGGTTGGATTTTTATGGCTTCACTTGGTCGCCACACTCCTTCGATTAATGTAATCAAGGATTGTACAGATTGGAGAACGAGAGGGTTAGAAGATCGTAATCGCAACTGCTGCAGTTGTTGCTTCAGTTCTTTAGTGCTTTCCGCGAGCCAAAGATCCTCGCTGCCCTCAATAAGTTCCTGCAAAAGGTTTAGGACAATGAGTAAGATATGGTCCGCAGTGTCCTGTTTTCCAGAATGATGGTCCAACAAGTCTTTTAGTATGAGCAAGAACTCCTTGGTGTGCAAGGCTAGCTGAGCCCTTAATGGTTGGTGAGCCACCATTTGGTTCAGCGCAATAAGCAAATCCAGCTTTAGTTGATACTTTGAGTTCAGAAAGTCCTTCAGCTCCGTTTCCGTTGAAATAAAATCAACACTGGCTGATGACTTTTCCTTTAACTGGTTGCCCATAAAACGTAAAAGAACTAGGAAAACATTGCAAGTGAGCGTGTGATGAGAGCTTGAGATAAGCAGTCCAGGCAAAATTCTGCCCATATCATGATCCACTTGGTGCTCCTGGTGGGCTACTTTAACCTGAACTTGGTTGTTTGCGGAAGGGAGGATGAGAATTCGTGGGTGAAAACTGTACCAAGGAGGTTCCTCGTCGACTTGCCACTTTAAAAGTCTTTTAAGCACTTCTGGCAGTTCCTTTTCCCTTTCTCTGTTATCCAGACAACGTGAAATGATCATAGAAAGCTGTTTAGTGGCTGGTAGTTCTAAAGGAAAACCGTCGTAGAGTTGAAAAAGCAGGGGAAGGTAAGGAACTAGAAGGTTACTGGCCAAACAAGCCACGGTGGAGGAGCAGAAAAGATGCTGCCACAAGAGGATGCGATTGCAGAGTTCCTGGTGTTCCATTACGATTAAACCACTTATAACATCTTCCGGGTTAATAAGACTCTCCCAGTGCTTGTATAAGGTTTCCTCTATCTGCTTCTGATTGGCATCATTTAGATCGTAGAGCCTCCTAAGGGATAAGACACCGGCACACATTTTGTCCGCATCCCGAAGGTTAAATTTACAATACTCAAACACCTGGAGAATCATCTTTTCCTGCGCAAGTTGAGAGAATCCCTTCCTAGCCACAATTCCCGCAACAATTTCCGCATTTCTTGTGGGACTCACATTGGGCGTCTGATGCAGCGCCTCCACAAAGCTGAAAAATCCTTGGGCTGAATTTAGTTTTCCGAGGAGTTGATGGTGCAACACTTTGGCCAGAGGAGTGCTGAGAGGTGTGGCCTTCAAGAGTAGGATGTGCCGGAAGAAATCCGCTTTGGATTCCTGTTGCCAGAGGTAGGATATAGCCTTTTCCAAGTGCACCGAGTCCTCCTCAACACGCAGACTCATAATGGCGGCCAGAAGATCCCTTTCAACTAGCTCCATGGAGTTGGCTATGTGAAACTGTCGTATTGGCAGTAGATTTACGAAGAACTGAATGCTCAGGAGCAGCAAGCAAGGATTCGCCTTCACTTTTCCGTCGGCCTCATTGAATATAGGCGACTTGTAAAAATCCTCATGCAACTGACATCGAAGGGAATAATAGGACAGCTCCTGGGTGGCCTGAATGCACAGTTTCAGGTGGGCCACCGATATTAGATCCTCCTTGGCGTCGCTATGGAAGTTGATATTCTTCGTAATGGAGTGTAGCACATGTTGCAGTCTCACTATATAGGAAATTGTGGGTTCCCTTGTGGGATCTATACTGCATTTCTGCGCGGCGGTCAACAGGTATTCCTCGCACAATTCATGCAACTGCTGATCAACCTCTAGTTTCACATATTTCTCTAAAATTAACAGGTTGTTTTCTAGGACATCGGGTGGATCTGAGTTGCTTGACTTATTTGCTGCAAATATTACAATATTTAAATTGTTTTATTTATTAAAACATGTCACTCTGGTTACCTAGTGCCTTATTTAAAGTTAATTCCTCTAAAAGAGCAAAGTATTTGGCCGTATTTATCATTATTATCACAACAAACACTAAATTTGTGCGAAATTCGCGACCATTTGCTAGAGATGAGTGTTTACAGTGGCACAAGTGCAATCGATAAGCTGAACAAAGTGCTGGCAATATAGCTACTTCAAGGGGTACATCAATTATCGGCTTACGTTAATTTCTAAAAATAAATTACATAAATTATTCACAACTATTAAAATTGTTATAAATTTGTTATTTCCTTACGGAATGTCTTTCAAGAATCAACAGTTCTTATGCACTATTTAACTTCTAGCTATTTCTACCCTAAATCTAGCTATGTTTTGCCAATCGATAGTCGGCTGCACTGGCGGCGGATTGCGCATCGACTGCATCATTTCGCTCTGGTCATACTGGCCCACGAACAAAAAAAGAGCAGCAGGAAAATCGAACAACTTTCTTTTTCCCCTGCTTTGTGTGAGTGCATGCAAAAACACAAAGTGCGCAGAATAGCTTAATTCAGCTAACCGATTCGGACTCGAACGTGCATCAATTGTCCAGCGGCACCGACGCTCCGCCCACCGTCAGCCGCCCCCGCGAAAAAAAGATTGCCAAAAACACCTACGCGCAGGCAATTAAGTCCGTGTGATATTGTGTGTGTGTGCTCGCGAGTGTGTGTGTGAGTGTGTAGTGCTGCTGGGCAGTAAACATTTTCTGGTGAAAATCGGGGGAAAATGAAGAAAATCCTGTCCAAGTTCGAGCGCAATGAGAACTCGCGACTGGAGAACCCGCCCAACAGCAGCAGCTCGTCGTCCTCGAACGAGAAGAACAGCTTTGTGGGCAAGGTCTTTACAGTGGGACGCGTCACGGTCACCGTGGAGGATGTCCTGGCAGAAGGTACACATACTGCTACCCATCTATATTTGTCCGCACTTCCCCTATCTCCCAACACGTAGCACGTAGCGATTATGCTTATCACCGGGCTGATTTACAGGTGGGCAGTAGCCTACATGCCCTCTTTCGTTTCTCCCTCCGGCAGATTAGATAAAAATCGAGAATTCCCAAATGTGGGGCGTACACAAACCGCTAAAGAGCATAAAAATCAGCTGCGTATCCACTTAATTGGGGGCGCCACTTGTCGCATTTCCGATTATACATACGGTCGAAATTAACTAACTGGGACGATAAAAGTATTTTCAAAATTGAAGTCTTTATTGTTAGGTTTAGTAAGACTTTTTTTAGTAATAAATGTAAAAATAACTTACCTTTCTATAGATTTTTAGTTTTAAATTTAAAAAACTATTACCAAATAAATTACACTTTAGTTTCAAAAATTATCCAACAAATAATATATTCATTTTTTACAACTAATTTTTCTATTCAAATATATCTCTGAACTAGTTATGCTAAAAACTATATGAATTGACTTTCATAACCCATAACATCCTGTATAACTTAACTCATAACTTATGTATTTCAATAATTCGAATTTTAAATTTCTTTGTTTTTTTGACTAATGGGTTTTTGTGTTTTAAGAAGCTCGACTGTACAAACACAGTCACAGTTCTAGTTGGTTTTTCCAAAGAATACCCATAGAATTCCCGTAGCCACTACACATGGCCACAAATCAATTGAATCAATTATGTTAATTTAGCCAATGAAGCGGCAAGACCAACACTCAACTGCCTTCATCAGCCGACTGTCTCCCAGTTTTCCGTTTTTCACCTTTCCCCGAGCTAAATGGCAAAGTTCGCCCCTAAGGAAATAGCTTTGTCCTTGTCCTTGAAATGTGGAGTGCACCACATCCCCGTCCCGCGTGCAAGTGCCTCCTTGGCTTGGCACAAACACCAGCCATCTAACGTTGGATCATCTAACGATTGCTCACACAATGCCTTTCCTTCCATTCGCTACCTCTCCTTTAGACATTACGTAGTTTCTTTTTTGTTACTTTTATACATTTGGCAAGCGGACTCGATTCGTAATATTGTTTTGCGCTGCGCTGGCGCCGCTGTCAGACAGTCAGCTGTTGTGGGGGATACCCTGTAATTTATTGGGGGAAAGTGTATAGACTTAGGCCATTTCTCCGCGATAAATAAAGTGCTACATAAGTTCTCCTTTAAATTGTTTATTCATTCTCATTTTAACTAATGATTTTAATTGAATAAACGAACAAATTTTATGTAGATTTATGGCCGTTTTCTCGTCCGCCTGTTAAATTTAAAGGAAGCTTTAAACACAGTTTTCCTATATGATTTCAAGGTTTTAACACTACTTTAAATTTAACAAACGAACGAGAAAGCGGCCCTTGGAATTATGACTCTCAGTGGGAATGGAGTTTTTTAAAATATTAATAGGTTTACGACGAAACAAATGTTTTCATTTTTAGAATTTCTAACTCCCTTAAGAAATATTTCTGTACTTTGCTTAAAATACATCATTATTACATTACATTACATTATAAATTTTTAACGTTTTAGTAATATTGTAAATTAGTTTTATTTAAAAAAAATCATTAATTTTTTCATTGATCTATTAATTCTTTTTTTACTGTCCAAATATGCTGAGCATGTTTACAGTACACAGTACTTAATCACCTTATATTTTTTACCTGCTTTCTTTAAGTTAACTTTGAGCACCCAACAAGACAGCAAAAGTAGCAACAACAATTAGAAATGACTAAGCGACAAACGGTTAACGAATGGAGCTTTTTTCCTTGCCCCACCTTAACCCCCCTTAACGCCCACTTTGCATTTGACTCCCCATTTAGCCCCTTTCAGCCACTTTGTCTACCCTCGTTTGCGTTTCAAATTGCCTTCTCCAGTTTTCTCGCATCGCTACAATTGTGCATTGTTGGTGTTGCTTTTCATACTATTATTACTGAATGTTGTTGCTGTACTTTTTGCCAAAGTTGATTTGTTGCTGTTGGCTGGCAACCTTCAGCATTGATTAACATTTGACGCCATAATTTCACAAAGTCGAGCAAAAATCAAGCAAAAATGGTTACACTCGTATGTCCGCTATTCATTCTCTCTCTTTTTATGGACAGGAAATTATTTTTTACATTTGTAATATATTTTGTTGTAGATTTTTTGTGAAATTTTGGTATTTAAATAATTATTGGTTCGCATTAAAAATAACCAGTGAGCATTAGGTTAAATCAATTTAATTAAAAAATATATTTGAACCCTATTTAGATGATATTTTTCTCAGTGACTACGCTCCCTATCTTTTTTTTCTCACCCCCCGATCTTCCCCCGTTGAGTATTGTTATTGTCGCATGTTATTGTTGTTATTTCTGTACGTGACCTTCAATAGTTTAGTTTATATTGCGTTGCCTTTTTATCGTACATTTTGAAGTGGCGCAAAACGACAGGTGAAGAGGGTCTGAATGTGGGGGCTCTACTTGAATTCTATTTGCAATAAAATGAAATAAACCTCATGCAAATCGCCTGTTAGGCAAAACATGTGTAAATCGTTCCATGGCCAGACAGTAACTGCTATCGTTCGAATTTAGATACCCTATAATTGCAGCTCAGTTGAGTGCATATTTGCACAGCACTTGAATTACGAGAAAAATAGAAAATAGTTATGAAGCACACGTATTCATTATGAAGGGAGATAAAACCATATTACTCACCTTATTAAATTCTAATAATGTTTCTCAACGAATCTTAAAAAAGTGGTTTTTGGCATTAAAATTTTGAATAAGTAGCGAAACTAAAAAAAAAATGTTGATATTTCCACCCCTTTATTTTCTACTTAATATCATTATATATTTTACTAACAATAAAGTTTTCAATCCCGGGATGACCAATAAGCCTTCCTACAATTAGGCTTACAAAATTGCTTTGCCAAAATCAAATCTTTTTTACTAATAACTTTTTGAAGGCAAAAACTAAACTAACTACTCGTAATAATTTGCACCATTTTATTTGTAACTATTAAGGTATCCAACTAGTTGTGTTTTCTAGCACTTAGTCCCCTCACTGAAATATGTGCTTTGCTGTTTACAGCTGACAGCTGTTATGGCTGTCTAGCCCGTCAACCTACCCCCACTAATGCTCCGGTTTTCTCTTCCCCCATCTCCCCAAAACTCTCGCAGGTGGTTTCGCCATGGTCTTTTTGGCCAGGGGCAACGGCGGGGGCAGCTCCTCGGCAACCAAGTACGCCCTGAAGCGAATGTACGTCAACAATGAGCACGATCTGAATGTGGCCAAGCGCGAGATACAGATTGCGGTGAGTAAATAAATCAGGACAAACAGACCTAATCTAATACAACAATCACTTTCACCATTCCAGAGCAACCTGAGTGGGCACAAGAACATCATCGGTTACGTGGACTCGAGCATCACGCCCACTGGGAACGGGGTGTGCGAGGTGCTGCTACTGATGCCCTACTGCAAGCATCACATGCTGGCCATGATGAATGCCAGGTAAACTGAATGAGTTAATTAAATTCATTTGATCTTTGAACTATAATATAATTGAATAAAATCCCCCTTTAGATTACATGTTGGTTTTACGGAGCCCGAGGTGCTTAACATCTTCTGTGATATTGCCGAGGCGGTCTCCCGATTGCACTACTGTCAGACTCCGATCATACATCGTGATCTCAAGGTTGAGAATATCCTACAGACGGACGCGGGCAACTTTGTACTCTGCGACTTTGGATCGGCCACGGCCAAGACGTTAAATCCGCAGCAGCATGGGGTCACTGTGGTGCAGGAGGAAATACAGAAGTACACAACGCTGTCCTATCGAGCTCCCGAAATGATCGATCTGTACGGGGGAAAGAGTATTACCACCAAGGCGGACATCTGGGCACTGGGTTGCATGCTCTACAAGCTGTGCTTCTTTTCCCTGCCCTTTGGGGAGAGCACACTGGCCATCCAGAATGGGCAGTTCTCCATTCCAGACTCCTCGAAGTACTCGAAGGGCATGCACCAGCTGATTAAATATATGTTGGATACGGATCTGGAGAAGAGGCCAAACATTTGGCAAGTCTGTGAAGTGGCCTTTCGACTGGCTGGCAAGGATAATCCCGTGCAGAATCTACATGTAAGTATGGCTAAAAATTTATTCGAATTTA